TCAGCAATCTCAGCTTCCGCAGTAGCCAACATTTGTTGGGAAACTGCTTCAGCTTCATTTGCTGCCTTAACGCGCAACTCCAGATTCTGCTCATCAAGGGAGGATTTCAAACTTTGAACATGAGCCCAAGCCCTGTACTCATGTTCCTTGGCTTCAGCTATGTCCCTGCCACAGCACAATATCCACAGTGATGCTTAAGGCAATGCACCAAGCGCATTTTAATAATAAGTGTTCAGCCAAGAAAAGAAGATCAACAAATACTAACACATCCGAAAGAGAATTTAATCTGATGAAATTGTAAAAATAGATCAGATATTAAAAGCTGTGAAGGATAAATTGGCAAAGTGAGAATATATTTCTTTAGAAACGCAAGAATATTAACAGCAAACTTTAGTAATCAGACAGTTCCGTCAAAAGGCAAGATTAATAACAGTGCTCGTTAAACTATATATTCGTCCCACATATAAGGGAAAGGTAAGGAAAATTGTCTCAAAGAATTTAGATCTTGGATATCGACCACTGGATTTGTTACATATAATTGTGCTTACCTCGAATCAGTGGACTCACGTTTATACATGTCGAGGAACAACTTCAACTCCTCGTGACTGTTCTTCAAATCACGTACCTGCATGACAGACTCAAATTACTTGAAAAGTAAAGAACATAGCAACTACATCTTCGCCAACCAAAAGCTACTACGACATTTAAGAAGGTTTAAAATTGCTAATACGTCTTTTCGGAATACCTTTTCCAAGAAATATGTTTTCAAACAAGGTTGACATAGTGCAAGTAACGTTAACCAATATCAACACCGACAACATATAAGTGATGGGTAATACACTGAAAAAGGTAAACCTAACGCATCATACCGTAGCATTTAGGTCACCTAGCTGAGAAGCATAATCAGCTGATCTCATATGCAATGCTTCACACTCTTTTGTCTGTTCACCAATAAGGCTTAGTAAGTAAGCAAAACATAAACTCTAACAGCATATATCATACATTGTTCAAGATTATTGCCCACCTTCCTACATAGAACCCCGGAGAGGGACTGGACATCAGCCCGCAGAGAATGAATGCCTCCAGCAGACTCTTTATAATTGTCTAATTGACTTCGCATGGAACTCATTTCCTCTGGGAACGAAGAAATTAACGCCTTCATATCTGCAAAGATTTCTTTTCTACCTGACATATGGATCACTTAATTAGAATCCAAACTGATGGGTGGATGGGAGAATTGGAAGTCAAAAGTAACCAATTTGTTACCTCGCTCTCTTGAAATGTTTCCCAATCTAGTCTTGATTCGCAACTTTTCATCCAGTTGTTTCTGTATCTCCACATCTAAAGAAGCGATTCTAGAATCAGCAACAGAAGAAGTCCTTCGAGAAACATCAACTAGTTCATTTTTTATATTCATTTCCCTTTCCCTCCAGACTATACTATCTTTTTCAACCTGAAATTTTCGAATGAAGATAAGCTTCATAACCACATATATACATCATAAATTTTATAAAGATAATTACAATATGAAAATCGGAATCAAAATATAACCTGCAGTTTCTCAAGTAAAGCCATATACTGGAAAACTGCTTTTTTGGATTTTCCAAGTTGGTCTTTCAAAGAAAGGTAGGCTTGAGAAGATGAGATGCACCTCACAGACTTTGACTTGTTCTGTTAGAAAACTTGTATATCAGTTTTAGCAATGGGAAGAAGTTATATTCCACAAATTTTCCTTACATCAAAACTCTTCCCGATCAGCAGATATAAACTAATACAGGTAGTTGTACTCTAATATGATCATAAACTGACCTGTAAAATACTCAATTTTTCAAGAATCTTTGTCCTCTCCTCATGAAGATCTTTTAGCTCTTGTAGCCTGCTTGAAGCCAGGACCTAATAAATCCAGGGTGTATCAAACCAAAACTCTAAGCATTACCAATGAAAACAAAAAAAAACAAAAAGAAGAAAATATACCGTTAACTCTTTCAGAACCGATTCCATGTCTTGCAGATCCCTTTGTTTATCCCTTGCCTTATCGCTGGTTGCAATATTATTTCCAGGGCTCAACACCGGGAAGAACGCCCCTGCTGTTGCATCCCTTTCTGCTCTCAGTGCTGACAAGTCACCATTACATTGTTGAAGCTCCACAACCTCATCCTCTAGCTCTCCTTCAAATACAGCAAGTATAATGTCAGCCCATACAGCAGTCAAAAAGCATTAATCTTTGAGCGGGCATGTAAACCAGAGTTATAGCTAAACATGAATCTAACTGGCTACAAGCTATTTCCGGATTGAAATCTTAAAATCGTAAGGTGTAAAAGGTAACTGATTTTCAGATTTTAAGACGCTTCAATTTTGTATATGTATGTCATTCTCAAAGAATTACCAGCTTTTCTATCTCCTAGAATGTATTGAAATATATTAACTCAAATGGTATAATTTAAAGGTTCACGTCTCGGAAGGGTGCTAATGGTGCATCTTCCGTAACTACATGTCTTGTTGACATTTGGCGCTAGCAAAGATGTTTTCTTCCAGTCTTAATATAGCTCTCTCTTAATCTTATATGATCCAAATCCTATCCTGGCTATTTAAACAGTAATAAACACCAGCGCAGTGCCGAACATTATACATAGGCATAGTATTGCGAGCTTCACACAACTTTATCTCTCTACTTACACGAATCCTCATCAATCACAAGCGGGATATAGTTTCAGTAGCTTTCCATGTATTTAGATTGACCTTTTTTCTCTTGAGGCAAACATATGAATACAATCTTATATCTGATGAAGTCCATGTAAAGAGTGCATTTAACAGTCAATATTCGAACCGGAAGAGACTAAGTAGCTACCTCTTATTCGTTTAAGGTCTGCTCTAACTTTAGCATCAGCATCGCGATAACTCTGCAATTCTCTTGAAAGTGATTTGAACTTCACAAGTACATCATCTAGATCCACTCTGAAACTCTTAATATCTGATTCCAATTCATTCAGCGCTAGCTGGCCACACAAATCTAGAAAGGAAAGCAATTCCATATAAGAAATGGGTTAGTACTAAAATAGTGATAAGGGACACGAGAGGAGCTGAAAATCGATTGCAGTGGAAGTAATACCTTTATCAAGACCAGTTCTGAGAACTGTGGGATATAATTCATCCTTAAGACACCTCAAATCATTGGTTGCGGCTACTAGGCTATACAAGGTTTGCGTGAACTGACTTGATGTATTCCCTCTATTTTCTTCCATCCGATTCGAACAGATATTGGATGAAGAGCTCTCAGTGGCACCAGTTTCGAGTAGCCGGTTGATGAACTCGTCTTTAACGGCCGGAGAAGACCCATCTGCGTAGAAATTTTAAGGTGTCCTTTCAACAAGTCATATTTGTATCATATAAACCAAATTCGAACTAGGTCCCAGCATTAACAGAACGAATCAGAGGCGGGCCAAGCAGTTCATACCCTCCTTGTTTACAGACCTATGAGCTCCGCTGCTTGAATCACTCACACGAATGGAGCATGATTCCACTGCAGCTGTAAGCTGCTACAAAAGCACTAATTAGATCTTTTAGAAGAAAGAACCAGAATAAAAGCTGAAATTTTGTAATCAGTCCCTCTTAGTTAAGTAAGTTTTTTTGTTTTTGATAGAGCAGGGCAGGTGGAAGGGGATTAAGTTATGTTAGAAACCAAAGCATATTGAGTGTTACCTTTGCCCAAGACTTATGAACAGTCTTCAAACTGGAATTGTATGGTAATTGTTTATCCTTGATCTGAGAGAGCTTATCCTCGAGAATAGAACACTCAACCTGCTGAGCCTCTAGCTTTTGAGATAGCTTCAGATTTTGGAACTGAAGGACTGCAGTATCAAGCTGTATCAAACAAAAAAAAAATCTTAAGAGACAGAATCAAAATTCCAACACAAATAGCAAAACAGACGAAGTTAAAACAAATTCACAAACCCTCAAGCGAGCTACAAAGAAAACAACAACAAATAGAGCAAGACAGTGATGGTCTACTCCGGAATACAATATAATGTTTCAAAATCAAAAAGGGAAAGTTCGAAGTTCGAGGTTGGTCAATTATAGACGGCCATAAGGGTATATGAATCTAAAAGCTCAAATTCTAACAAGAATTGATTGATTAGATTAGTTAGAGAATAGACATATATATATATATATATATATATATATATAAGGGCATGCACAAGAAAGAACCTTGTCCTCGGAGGAAGGCCAAAAGAAGGGCTGTTTCTTAACGGCGGCTGCCGCTTCTGTGGGTGATATGGAGCTAAAGTGACGCTTTTTAGGGTCCGGCTCGCCTGTGCTCGCCATTCCAAAACCCTAAACTCGCCAACAGGAATATAATTGAAAAAAAAAAGAAAGAAGCTTCTCTCACATCAGATTGAGTGGGGAGGAAACTCTTCACAAACAACTCCAATACAAACCCAAGTCAATCCAAAATATTACCCAATGAGAAAACCCTAAAGGATCTATCACTACCAAGCTACGTGATTGCTTCAACCAAGAATAATTCAATTGCTCAGCTCCTCAGAATAAGAAAAAACCCTAATCTCACCGGTCTCCAAACTCAACTAAACTCTAATCCTCTCTTACACATAGACCTTGTCTGATCTTTGTTCAACTGATGCTACAAGCGGTTAAGTTCCCACCCAAAGCACTCTCGCGAAACACAGCACTCAAAGAACAAAGAAACGACCAAACAAAAAAAAGAGAAGAGTGAGAAAGAGAGAGAGAGAGATGAAGTTAATTCAAGTACGGTGGCGTAATATGTGAACATCTGAGGGGTAATTTGGGAATCAAATACCTCTTGCGGGATATGAAACTGAAACTATCTCGTCCCGTTTGCGGAATTCGCACAATTTTTTGTTTTTATGAAGCTCTCATATCGTTAATCAATTACTCAATTTAGATCATGACAACTACAAAACAAATCGTAGAATTTTAATGATCAACAATGAAAGAAAAAAAAAAAAAACAAAGGCATACAATAGTGTGAACTGTAGATGGATGATTCAAAAAAACCAAATTACAGTAGTCTTATAAAAGAAAACAATTTTAAGTATCAAGACGAAAGTAGAAATATCATCATCTTGTTTTTGAGTGTTGGAAGAACGTTGTTATATCAATCGTTTTTCGAGGCCATTTTACGTTGCTTCTCTTCCTCAACTTGAACAAGCAAAGTCAAGAGAGCTTCGCAAACTTGAGCAGCATCGGCTTCTAAAGGAACCTCGTTCAAGGAAGAGTAAACCATCCAGGCATGGTCTAGTTTACGCTTGGGTCTAACCACCACGGAACCAGGAACCTCTGCGTCGCAGCAAGTCACGAGCCCATCACTCTTTTCACCGTATCTGACTTGAAGCAGCTGAGCGCAAGCAGCCATTGCAGCACCGAGTGGCATTACCACTGGGAGTTTTGTGGCTTGGTTTGTGAGAGGTAGTTCAGCGTGCGCCACGTGTGATAAAGTGGCCAGAACCGCTGGGCTTATGCTCGCTTCTGTGCGGAATGAAACCGTGGGGAGTTCTCGGGGAAGCGGGTGATTCTTCAAGAACTCTTTTCTTCTTTCGTATGTTAAATCTTCCAAAGCTTGAATATCACCCTTCACAAGGTTTAAAGGAGACCAACACGTTAGAGAAACAAATAAGTTTACCCATAGCACCGGATCAAATCTATATGACTAAAATACTTATCTCCGCAAATTTTTAGTTACTAATACTAAAACTCTACTACTAAATGACAATCGGGATATTACTTATCGGAAAATATCATTTCAGAACATTTGCCAGTTCAATTCTACTTAACAAGAGAACGGTTTCGTGCATCTGATATAATTTTGGTAGATCAAGAAAAGAGTTGTTGCAAACCTTTATAACTTTGGATATCAGAATCTCCATGAGCTTTCTCAAATTGACATAATCTCCAAGTTGTCCTTCACGGAGGATATCTGTAGCTATTGGGCTTCCACCATATGGACTTTGTGCCAATACCAACCCAGCGACCTTATCCTTTAGATCAGGCCAGTATAGAGACAAAGCAGCAGCTGCATCTATACCTCCTTTGCTATGCCCAAGGAGCAGAACCTTTTTATTAGATCCCCAACAGAGTTCCTCTATGTATTCCTTTATCTCTCTCGCATTTTTCTCAACCGAAGACTAATATATAAACATTTTTCCGTCCATCAGTATGCTATATACCAAACGTAACTGAATTAATTTGAGTTAGTTATAATTACCTCACTGTGAATCTTCGCAATATGACAGGCCAAACCCATCTTTGAGAATTTCGTTTTTGTATCCACAAAATATAGAGGTCCATGATTACTGAAAAGACCTGAAGATTTCGTTTTTAAAACCAAATTCTATGAGTCCTAAAACAATACAGTAATATAGTCTAAGTGGCTGGCAGGTAGGAATAAGAAGTGCTACCTGGAACCAACAAGTACACCACTGTATTTGGAAGCCTGTGAACACCATGCCTGGAAATGAAAAAAAAAACAGATCAACGCAGCCATTCAGTAAAATAAGGATGTAAAACAGCATATTACAAAGACCCAAGTACATAAAGCATGCAACTACAACCAATCCATACCCGATGTCATCCAGAATTTTATTGAATCTATCAGTTCCATCTTCAACAGGAGGCATCTCCGGGTCGCGCTGTAACCATCCTATGTCATCTGCCGAGCCACGGACAGTCCTCCTTGCGCGTTCAATGAGCCTGATAAGTAGTGTACAGAGATTATTCTAATGCTTCAGTTTCACATTTTCATAGTATTAGCATTTTTCATTTCTCTTTGTAGTATGGGGAAATTGTATCAGTCATACAAAGAATACATACCCTTGAAATATAGAAATACCGTTTAAACCTAAACGATTCGATGTCACAATTGCATTAGTTGCCTGTGACAGAGTCTCTGTAGATTCCCTTGATGGGCTGTTGGCTGTAGACGTAGATGCCTCTGAAGAAGTTGAGCACCTTTCACCAGGAGAAATGCATACACTTACTGGGGAATTCCCGTCAACTCCTGATGTCGATCGTATCAACTCATGGGGGTGGGAAATAGCATTACATGAATCCTTACCACCATATTCTACTGAAAAAAACAATGGAAGAACAGAGTCTAAGCGAAAGCCTGTATTATGGTATGGTGACGAGGTTGCTATGTAGTGAAAGAAATGAGATCCTAAAGCTATATAATATCTGCTAAGCCAATAATTTATCCATTATAAAATATAGTAGATGAACGCGGAATTGCAAGCTGAGCATCACATCAACAGAGAGAAAGAAAGGGTACCTGAATAATCAGAAAAACAGCTCCCCAAATAAGACGTTGCTTGGTTTATATATGAAGCAGCTTCATTAAGAGCTGGCAAGGAATTAAACAGCTGTGGTGCAGCCACATTGTCACCAGTTTTACCCCCCTGTCCTCAAAAAGAAATTAGTGCTGTTAGTAAGGCAGTCTCATGCGTCGAGAACCAATACCTTCTATACAAAAATACATTACTACCAAGAAAACGGTAAGTTGACTCCAAATAGAATCCCATTAAGATAAGCATAGAGCAAGTATGGGTCTGGAAATTATATCTAAAAAATAAGAAAAGGAAGTCATCAGGCCACATTACTTACAACTAGAGGCGTGATAGATTCTCCCTCTCTGGATTGACCGGCTTCTCCCATTCTGATCAATTTCTAATAGCATACACAAACACAGAATTAGATAAAAGCTACACATGTATTTTCCAGACCAAATTTCTATTTCTGGAAAACAACTGAAGTTCTTCCTATACTCCTGCCAATGAACAACAACTAAAAACGAATTTCAAAGACTAATCCTCTGACTGTTTTCCCAGATAACCAGTTTCAAAACTTAGATACCTAAATCAGCATCCATCTTCCAACCGCAAATGTAATTTTTTTAAAAATGGAGAACAACAAAAAGCAAACACCGACTTAAGTTGATTCTCGAAGGTAACTCTTAACATCAAAATACCAAACCCGGACGAAATTACAAAATAAATATAACAAAACGTGAACGATAGAAATCCAGCGGGAAGAGTCTCGATTCTGGATAAAAAACGGGCAGCAACATTAGGAATTGAGAACATGCAAGTGAAAAATAGATGCTCAAGTTTTCCATCAACGCCAAACCCTAAATTCTTCATCGATGGCAAATAAACAACAAGATTGATGACCGGATCCAAACTAAAAATCCAAAAAATAGCCAACAATTTGCAAAGAACCGATTCGGAAGAAGAAACAGCTAAAAATTCAAAAATCAGAATTAAGGAAGCAAGAAAAGTACCTGGAGCTTTAGGAATGTTGGATCAAAACGAAACATATGCACAGCGAGCCACCTTCAATGGTTCGGATCATTTCCTAACCCGCTGGGAAAAGAAGCTTGGTTAATCGATTAAAAAAAAGGCAATTTATAACCGCAGGCACAAATAATTTGACGAGCGTGGAACAACACGCAGTGTCGACGCAACACGTGTACTGGCTTAGAGATCAAGATGAAACGAGTCGACGAATATAAGAAGATTAGGCTCTGTTTTAATTATATATCTATATGGGCCGATAGAATGGGCCTACTGGCTCAACTATATTACAACAAAAAACGATACTATCTTGTGCATTTTTATTTTTTACACAGTAAATAGCACACGGAGTGGAGATTTGAGCTCAGGGCATCAGGTAGATCGACGGTAATAGTACCTGCAAGAAGGCAATAAAAATGTCGGTGATGAGTGTGATTTTGGATTTTTCCAATAGAGGACGACGACGAAATATATACAGAACTTACACAAATATTTCCACGGCAAAGATGGAGGAGTATTTGCGAAGAAGACGCTCAACAGTGTACCATTGAGATCGGTCTGATCCGTCTCGGTAACCAATACGTGGCATGTGAAGTGAAGCTTTTGAAAAGAGGATATCACCAGAATGAAAAAAAAAAAAAACGTTAAGCTCTTTGAGAACAGTTTTTTGGAAGAAAGGCAAAGAGCTGAAGAAAGCAACGACGTTTTTATACCTGATTTCTGAGAAGCAGAGAATGAAGCTTTGGCCAAGCAACATTCAAGGTCTGGAATTGAAATGCTACTACGAGGAACTTTACGCCTCGGTTTGTAAGATTGTGCAACTGCAAGTGCCACCCAAAGAGGTTTGCTTTCTTCAGCGTTTTCTTGGTCATCATTGTCTGCACAACAGAAAATAAAAGAGAAGGATGAGAACTGAATGAGTTTTTTAGAAAAAACCCGGAATGAAAATGGAAGACAAAAAGTTACAAACCATCAACTTTAATAAGATGGAGGTCTCCAAGATGAAGGTCTTTGAATTCAGATGCTCTGTGATATGCATCAGGTACGATATTCGAAAGCTTTGACAGAGCATCAAACATTCCGCCACGTCCCCAGTTTCCAGAGTCATCAACACAGCTGCCATAAATCAATATTTGGAAGTTTCAGAGCTAGTTGAGATTTGGGTTTTTAGTATAATAAAGTTGACCTGAATATGATTGCTGGCTCATGAGGGACAGTTGATGGATGCGTGCAGTCTCCATAAACAAAGTGAACAGATCCTGCATCTGAACTAGAGTCAACGTCATCAGGAATAATTGGCTCTTCCACAGACAAAGACTGATAACCATGTGCTTCCCAAGTGGCTAACTTCTTCTCTTCTGCCTTTTTCCTGGCAGCCTCAACTCTCAGATGTCTTTCCTCGGATACATTCTTTCTGTTTCCCAACTCCATAAATTTTTCATCCTTGCTTGATCGTGATGCTTCCTTCAATTTCTCAACCCATGAAAGGTAAGAAGCTTCATCAAGCTCGGAATTTAGATCTGCTGATGACGAATTTCCTCTCAGAGTGTCACTCGAATTCATTTCAAACTTTCTTGCTTCCTTATCTGGTTCAATGTTTTGACGAATTGCAACAACTTTCTCAGCAAGAGAACTTATTTCTACCATTTTCAGGTTATCAGATTCTTCATCGTGAATCTCCCCAGGATCAAACCTTTGTAAACCAAACACTAGAGACCGCAAATCACCACGATCTTCCTCTTTCTCTTCCATGGTATCTCCTACAACATTATGACTAAGCTGCAACTTCCTCTCTGCCCTCCTCAAAATAACCTGAATAGACACGCATTTAGATTTTGATAAAACATTGTGGTGACGTTATGATTGGAAACACTACGACAGACCTCTTCCACGGTATATTCAGTAACGAGATTTATAGACAGCACATGGCTGATTTGTCCAATCCGATGAGCTCGTTGCAAAGCTTGCTTATCCACCTGCGGGTTCCAATCTTGTTCATAGAATATAACCTGCATATTAGAAAACACTCCAATAAGCACTAGACGCTATTCATACACATTGTTCTTTCGTCGATATATTCCGTTTCCGCAAGAAATAATTAGGAAAAAAAGGCCAGAAATGACGAACAGTGTCAGCAGCAACAAGATTCAAACCGACTCCCCCTGCTCTCGTTGAGATCATGAAAACAAAGGCATCGCTTGCATCAGCTTCAGAATCCAATCCTCTTTCTGTTTTCGTACTGAAACTCTTTATGGCAGCAAAACGTTCTTCAGCCCGTACTGATCCATCAAGACGCTCATAAGAATATCTACGAAGCTCCATAAAATCCTGTATTTGGTAAAAGCTACATATCATTGTAAATCTATGCTGCACAGACGTTACAGAATATAAAATAGCTCTATGACGAAACCTGCAAAATGTCAAGTGTAGAGGTCATTTGGGAAAATAGGAGGACACGATGTCCAATATCATGGAGCCTCTTGAGCAGTTGATCCAAAACTAAAAGCTTACCACTCGCCTGTCAGAATGCAATTGTTAGTGAGCAGAACATTTATTCAATGGAAACATATAGTGAGGATTGTTTGGATAGTTAGAAAACTTTTGGAATACCTGAACAAGGTGTTCGCCCTCTTCAAAAGGTTCCGGTTCAATACCTGGAAATAAGTAAGGATGGCTACATGCTTTTCTGAGTTGTATCACCTGCTCAAGTAAACAAACGGAGAAGTAAATATAAAAAATGGGCATTTTATGTAATACGTTAAGCCGCTTGATATAAACATGAAAAACTAACTCACAATATTTTGCAAAGACGTATGAGTGGATGATCCAGAAGACAGCGCAAGAAGCCCTGGAAGCTCTTTCCTCAGTATTGAGGTATATATTTTCTTTTGAAGACTGACGAGCGGAACCATTCTATCATGATTAAAAAAAAAAGACAGAACAATAAGATATAAATAGAGCACCTGCAAATACTTTTACTGGAAAGGATTAACCAAAAGTACAAGACTTTACACAGTTAGCTCCGTGAGAGGTGGCAGCACCAGATTCCCAGACTCAATCAGCAAAGATTTTGTACGCCGTAGCATAAAGGCACCTAAGATAAACTTCAAACTCTTATATGTTTCCTTGACATTTGACGCATCAAGACCTGTTTTGACAACGGAGGGAATGCATATGTTAGTTGATCCGCTTTACATCTTCTGAATGAATATCAACTCAGAAATGCTAGAGAGCGCAGAGCACTAAATGGCTAGAGCAAGCGAACCTGATAAAAACTCCCGAGTCTCTTTGAATGCGAAAAGGAACTGGTCTAGAGTCCCAAAAACTAATGGCATGCAAAAATGCATAAGAGCCCAAAGTTCGGTAAGATTGTTCTGAATAGGTGTGCCAGTAATCAAGAGACGCCGTGGAATGAGAAATTGTTCAAGTAAGACATTGTACAGAACCTGTGACATAACCAACGTTTTTCTTAGATAACCTGTGACATAATCAAATGTTCCTAAAGCCAGGTTGCGTACAACTAAACGAGTTTTAACGATATAAGACTAAAGATATGGTTTCTATCAAGGTATAATAAATCCATATAAATGGCTAGCACAGCAAAGAGATGAGTGAAGTGAGTGGAAGTTACTTTTGAATTCGTACAATATCTAGCAACCAATAATCTATCATTCCGTTCACAACTCATTGAATTTGTCTAGTGAGGCATAAAATAACCTTACACTGTTGGGATTCTTGAGTCTTTGAGCTTCATCAATTATAGCATACTGCCACGGAATCTGAGAAAGAAAGTCCTGATCCACCAATGCTATATCATATGTTGTCAACAACACATCGAAGGGTAATAAAGATCCCTGAAAAAAAATACAAAGAACCCAAGTTCTTGAGAAAGACATTTTTTACTCACACTATATGCTATTTCAATGACTTAGTACTTAAAACTCACCTTGGAGCTCTTCTTGACATGATCATACATGGACTTACGCAAATTCCGACGGCAATCCTTATCACCAACATATCTAAGAACATCAAGTTTTGGAGTGAACCTATTGATCTCTGACACCCAACCATCCGTTACGCTTAAGGGACACAGCACCACTGCCATGTGATGTGACATATCAGAATTTTGTCTTAGTGAACGTATTAACCAGAGAAATTAGGAAACGTAAGAAGCAGATGTCATTTGACTCACGAAATGGCCCTCGCAACCCTTGATGAAACTTCAAATAACTCAGGAAAGAAATTGCCTGGAGAGTCTTTCCCAATCCCATCTGCCCAATCCTTTCGATTAGACTTAACATGAATTCAAATCACAAAGAGACCAATACAGCATTTCAAAAACGATGGCAGTACCTCGTCTCCTACAATTAGAATCAAACATACATGAAATCAGAAGAACAAACCAAAAAAAAACTGATCGAATAGTTTACTTTGACTTCCCGATTTGTATCGCCGTATCCTAAAATTCCACGAAGAAGCACCCAAAATCGAAGACCTACCGAGAACGACATTGACGCCGAGAAGATATTTCTGAATAAGCCAAGAGACTCCTTCGACTTGGTGAGGCTTTAGAGTCGCCGTGACCCCGAATGCTCTGAAATCCGGAGGCGCGTGGCTTGCTTTTGAATCCTCTGCGAGTATGACTTTGGCCGCCGCTTCAAGTCGCCGTTCGTACTCCATCGTCGACAAAGTGTAAAGGAATTTTGGCGGTGAACTCTCTTTGTGACTTTTTCATTAAACTGGTTTGCCGCTTGGACTTGGAGGCACCAGGCTGAGGACCGGTTCTGGAAAACCGGGAAATTAACCAAAAGGCTGAAAAGTAAACTCGATATTACGACGTCGTTTCCTAGTTTCTTTATTTTTTCACTTTCGTTCCCCCAATTTCTTTTGCAAAATACAACTTTTATTTTTCAATGACATCAAAATCTGGTTCTGAAGTTGGTCTTCATTGGAGTCTAAATTTATCACATACATTTGGTAATTTGTAGCACAATTTGACTCTAATTCTGACCCTAAATTTCAACTCAATAATTTGTCCAGAAAAAAAGATTCTCCGAGACATACTTGGCCGGATGTTGTATGTTACTTAAACACATCATTTGGGTGCTATCATCATATTGGGAAAATTTATTATACCAAAGAAAAATATCATATGTGGAAATACTAAGATAATTCTACGAAAGTCCATTTGTGGAAATAAATCACAAAGCTTCCAAAATACAGACAAGTGAGTTGTGAATGTATGACGTCAGCAGATTCGGCATCGACGGCTCAAATGATGAGAGCAGACACATAGGACCCATGTCAATCACCTTTAATTCCATCGTTGCCATATATGTTCAAATATTAAACATTTAATCAAACCTATAATCATAAATAAATTCTCTAATTCTTTTCGATTTAAATATTGTTGCTAGCACTAATCTCCCACCATTACTCCTCCATTCACTCTCAACTCCTCGAGTGCTTTGTCTTTGTGGTATGACGGATCCATCTCTATGTTTCAACGCGTATCATACATCCATTTTATTGCCGTATACCATAAGTAACATATGCACATATTCAAATTTCTCTTAATATTTATGTGATTAAAAATGGATTCATGTATAGAGAGATCATTCATGAGAATATTGATCAATTTTTCATTGTACTAGTTACGTATTCAAACAAAAGACTTGAATCACAGTTTCTAATTTCTGAATTATTTTCATAATATTCGTCTGTTTTGATCAAGAACGCACATATTTTATGTTGTTCTTTGGTCATTATATCATCGTTTGATCGCACTGAAAGTCGGTTTTGCGTGTACCCAAGAAATACGACATTTTAACATACTAATTGGGAAAACTCTTTTATTCACGCCACCTTAAATTTTAATATGTTAATTAGAAGTTATAAGGTTGGAAACATTAAACCCTTTCTCAAACAAAAAAAAAAGATTGAAAACATTATACATGAAACAATCTAGACGTCATTGATTAGTGTCTTTCCTCTAGTAACATAGTTTTTACATTATAAATTGGTTATTACAAAATCAGTAGTAACGCCGGAGATTTTATATAGGATCACACAGTGTATTATAGAGATTAGATTCCACAACTCTAACGGAAATACAAGATTTTTGAGCGAAATCAATTTTACCCCATGCAACTTTTCAATATGATTTTTTGTAGTTGTCATGACCAAACAACGATCAACTCCACATATATATCAAGTCCTTACTCCTTAACCAGCTAATTTCATAAAATCATAAGATTGAACATTAAACATGTAGATTAAATTGATACCATGGATGGCATATACTTGTAATTTATAAAATATTTGCGCCCTATGGTTTGACATGGTTTATTGAAGATCATTGTTCCGAAGACTTGTCTATAAATGTTCTCCAAATTGAAGACATATAAATGAGGGTTCTATGATTTTAACGTTGAAACCCAAACCCATAATGAGTTCCTTTATTAATTTAATAATGTTTCACTCTCAAGAGTATCTAATTGTAAGCGAAAGTGGGTCGATTCGAAGCTTCATTAAAACAAATATTACTTGTTTTGTTACAAAAAAAAAAAAAACAAATATCACTTGATTTAGCCAATAAGATCACCGCAGAGAATAAATTAATATGTTAGTGGAGGTTTTATACAAGTATTGGTTGTCAACAAAAAAAAATCTCTTTTTAGCCCTGTTGGGCTTTCGTTATGAAACAAAACTTTATGGGCTGAATGTTTTTGTTAATTGTACCACCAATATATATATATATATATATATATATATATATAGCATAAACAAAGAGAAAAAATCTGAGAAATCTCAAATTTTCTAGACGAACAACAGAGTAGAGTAAAAACAAGGTGATGATGATGATGAATTCATTGCCGGAGGATCTGAGGGCAACTATACTTGCGAGATTACCGCTTAAGAGCATGAAAAGTTCCAAGTTGGTTTGCAAGGAATGGAAAGCAATGGTGGAATCTCCGTTTCTCCGCGAGCTTTTCCTTTCTCACCATCAGAACTCGCATTCTTCGTGGTCGCTCATGTGCAGGGAAAGTGGTAACGAAGTCATGGCTCACTACGGATGCGAGATTTGGGGACTTGCACGATCTTTGGGCTCTTACACTTGGTCTTTTATAAACGACACATTCGAGATCCAGGGGTCTCTAAGAGGGTTAGTGTCGTGACTTACACCGATGTCGGATTGATTCTGATCAAATTGGAACCTTTAGAAGGCCGAGATCTAACCTCCTACTATGTGGCTAATCCGATTTCACGAGAATGTATTGAAATCCCTCCTCAGCCTAGGGTTGTGCAATCTTTTAGCCCTTCTGGACTCGCTACCCGGATTGAAAACGGCGTCGTTTTAGGTTACAAAGTTGTTCTGATGAGAACACGGCACACGGCGGCGTAAATTAACCGGCCGAGATTTACTCGTGCATTCATCTGAGACAGGCTCGTGGAGTTTCGAAACTATCCATTCCCCTCTTCCTCTGCGCCGTCTTGTTCACTTGGATCCCGTTTGCTTGAACGGAAAGCTTTACTACAGCTTATTAAACAAGGACTTTACAGAAGTAGATGTTGTTGTCTCACATGATTTCTACGCCGAAGCTGATCAAGTCCGAGTTTTACTTTTCCCCGACTCAGAAATTAAAGAACCCCTTTTCAGAAGAGCTTGCACAGCCTCTCAAGGGTTTGTTATTTATATGAATGCAGACAGGAATGATGATGATGCAAGTTTGGAGCTTCACTTACGTGTGTGGAGGCTTAAAACCTGGGAGTGGCAATTACTTAATGAGATATCTCTGGATTGTACTAATTCCCCGTTTGATTACTTTCCTCTGGCAACAAACCCTTTTGATGCTAATACAGTGTACCTCCAGAGTTATTTGAATTATTCCTGTTTGGCATTTACTACTAACTTGCACAAAGGAGGCAAGTCTGGGCTTCACAACTACTTGGAACGTGGTAGCGACGGTCGCTTTCTGAGTTTTGCTGGAGAGTGGGACACACGGTCATACCAGGTCTTCATAGTTACTATACCCCCTTTGTTCTCCCGCGCTGGCTGCATCGGATCCCTCCTTCCCCACCGTCTTGACCAAGTCCACACTTTGCCTAGTTATTGTTAGTTTCTTATGCAAGGAACAAGTTTTAGGATCGTTTTGCTTTATTTTCAGTATTTGCTTGATTAACGATGACCTAACATTTTGGCAGAAATGTAGTTATTGGTATTATCAAACTATCAGTAGACCTGTTTTATTTTCTCGTACCTCTTATGCATTTATTAATAAACACCAATTCCGCTGCACAATGCAAATATACAGTAGACGTAGAGATTCCTACATAGACGCCAATTAGGAGTAACAATCAGCAAGAAATCAAAGAAGAGGTTCCTTGTTGGCCAAGAAATCACAGAGGAAATTCAAAGCTCAGGCTGCATTTACTCGCACTCTTCTCGAATCGACTGGAAAAGCAAGGTCGAGAGGTAACGTTCCCCAAAGCTCGGGAACACAACCTGGAAACAAGATTCACACTTGGAGTGAACCTATTGAAGTATTGATCTCTGACACCCAACCATCCGTTACGCTTAAGGGACACAGCACTACTGCCATGTGATGTGACATATCAGAATTTTGTCTTAGTGAACGTATTAACCAGAGAAATTAGGAAACGTAAGAAGCAGATGTCATTTGACTCACGAAATGGCCCTCGCAACCCTTGATGAAACTTCAAATAACTCAGGAGAGAAATTGCCTGGAGAGTCTTTCCCAATCCCATCTGCCCAATCCTTCGATTAGACTTAACATAAATTCAAATCACAAAGAGATCAATACAGCATTTCAAAAACGATGTCAGTACCTCGTCTCCTGCAATTAGAATCAAACATACATACAGATGGTGAACTCTCTTGTGACTTTTTTCATTGTAAACTGGTTTGCCGCTAGGACTTGGAGGCACACAGGCTGAGAACGAGACCGGTTTTGGAAAACCGGGAAATTAACCAAGAGGCTTACAAGGAAACTCAATATAACGACGTCGTGTCACACTTTTTTCACTTTCTTCCCCAATTTCTTTCTTTTGCAAAATACAACTTTTATTTTTTTCAACAAACAATTTTTTGTTTGTCAATAAACTCTTTTTTCTTAGCTAAAACCAAATTTTATAAAGAAAAACCATAAATTCTATTTAAATATTACAAAACATATCCACTTTATAATTATTTTGGGAAAATATATCTCTCTTTATTGTTTGGTCAACTGGGAAAATATATCCCTGTATTCTAAGAAATGTTATGAAAGAATCCAATAAAATATTGAAAAATTAATATAGAGTGGCATAGTGGTGAAACGGGTTTGAGGATTCGTCAATAAGTATTATGCTTGAAGTTCGAGTTTTTATATTGTGATTTCAACTATTTTTGGTCATTTTGTATGTGTAATTGACATTTGGATTTTGACCTACTAAAGAATGACATCAAAATCTGGTTCTGATGGTCTTCATTGGAGTCTAAATATATCACATATATACATTTGGTAATTTGTAGCACAGCTTGACTCTAGATTCTGACCTTAATTAGATTTCAACTCAATAATGTGTCCAGAAAAAAAAAATTCTCCGAGACATTGTTGGCCGGATGTTGTCTGTTACTTAAACACATCATTTGGGTGCTGATATCATACTGAGAGAATTTATTATACCAGAGAAAAAATATCATATGGGGAAATACTAAGATAATTCTATGAAAGTCCATTTGTGGAAATAAATCACAAAACTTCCAAAATACAGACAAGTGGGTTGTGAATGTATGACGTCAGCAGATTCGGCATCGACGGCTCAGATGATGAGAGCAGACACTGAGACACATAGGACCCATGTCAATCACCTTTAATTCCATCGTTGCCATATATGTTCAAATATTAAACATTTAATCAAACGTATAATCATAATAATTCTCTATTTCTTTTCGATTTAAATATTGTTGCTAGCACTAATCTCCCACCATTACTCCTCCATTCACTCTCAACTCCTCGAGTGCTTTGTCTTTGTGGTACGAAGGATCCATCTCTATGTTTCAACGCATATCACACATCCATTTTATTGCCGTATACCATAAGTAAATTATGCACTTATTTTCTTAATATTTATGTGACTTTAAATAGATTCATGTGTAGAGAGATCATTCATGAGAATCTTGATCAACTTGTTATGTACTACTTACGTATTCAAATAAAGACTTGAATCACAATTTCTGATTGCTGAAATATTTTTCAGATAAGCATTCGTATGTTTTGAACAAGAACGCACATATTTCATGCACCGAAAGTCAGTTTTGCGTGTACCAAAAAAATACGACATTTTAGCATACTAATTGGGTAAAACTGTTTTATTCACGCCACCTTGAATTTAAATATGATGCTCATTAGAATTTATAAGATTGGAAACATTAAACCCTTTCTCCATCAAAAAAAAAAAAGATTGAAAACATTATGCATGCAATAATATGGACGTCTTGGATTAGTAACTTTCGTCTAGCTAGTAACATAGTTTTATATTATAAATTGGTTACAAAATCAGTAGTAACGCCGGAGATTTTATATAAGATCACACAGTGTATTATAGAGATTAGATTCCACAACTCTAACGGAAATACAAGATTTTTGAACGAAATCAATTCTACCCCATGCAACTTTTCAATATGATTCTTGTAGTTGTCATGATGACCAAACAATGAACTTCACATATTTATCGAGTACTCCTTACTCCTTAACCATCTAATTTCATAAATCATAAGTTTGAACATTAAACATGTAAATTAAATTGATACCATGGCATATACTTATAATTTATAAAATATGGGCGCCCTATGGTTTGACATGGTTTATTGAAGATCATTGTTCCGAAGACTTGTCTATAAATGTTCTCCAAATTGAAGACATATGAATGAGGGTTCTATGATTTTAACGTTGAAACCCGAACCCATAATGAGTTCCTTTATTAATTTAATAATGTTTCACTCTCAAGAGTATCTAATTGTAAGCGAAAGTGGGTCGATTCGAGCTTCATTAAACAAATATTACTTGTTTTGTTACAAAAAAAACAAATATCACTTGATTTAGCCAATGAGATCAACGCAGAGAATAAATTAATATGTTAGTGGAGGTTTTATACAACTATTTATTATTACTTGTCAACAAAAAAATCTCCTATTAGTTTATTAATTGATTACAACAAAATTATCCACAAGACGTATGCTGTATGCATAATTGCATATATACAACATAAAATATCCATCTCTATCATTAGGATCAAGTTGAGTGTCGGTGATCACTTCTCGGTTCTTGTTGTCTGCTTCACTCTTCTAATATATATACTGTTAGTAGACACGTATTTCTCATCATAAATAAGTCAATATTTTGAGTGAATATTAGCTATAATTCTGTAAGTTTCATGAGCAACAACGAAAAGGATTTTTATTAATTACATGTGTCGTGTGACGCAATAATATTCACTTCCAAGTTCTAATCACACTAATCGAATTTGTATATTAAAAGAAAAAAGCATGGCTTAGTACTATGTCTGCCATTTTCGAATTTTTTTATTCATGTACTAATTTGTTCATGTCTTCCACAAAATCACCCAACATTTTCTACCCCACCATAGTTGCTGAACATGCACAGAGCCACGTATCCATTTTATTCGCTCTACATATATAATTGTTTTCTTGTTTGGGTATAGAAACTCTACATATAACATATGCTTTGCGTGTATGAAAGAAAACTATATACTATATAATTTGCAATATTACAAAAAATGTTGACCAAAATGTCTCTACCTATCCCGCCGAAAATATTTCTTCCACCGGCTAATTCTCCACCGATTCATCATCACCAAGCTCCGCCACCGCTTGCACCGCCACGCGCCGCCATATCAATATCTATACCGGAAACTGGTCTAGGACGTACCGGAACCATCCACGACGAGTCGACGTCATCGGCTTTTCGTGACTACCAGTCATTATTCGTGTCGCAGCGTTCCGAGACAATCGAACCGGTCGTAATTAAACCAATCAATGGCTCAATACCGGTTGATTTTCCTTCCGGTACATATTATTTGGCTGGTCCAGGACTATTTACCGACGACCATGGGTCAACGGTCCATCCACTTGACGGTCACGGTTATCTCCGTGCGTTTCACATCGACGGCAACAAACGGAAAGCAACGTTCACGGCGAAGTACGTTAAGACGGAAGCTAAAGAAGAAGAGCACGATCCAGTGACTGACACGTGGCGGTTCACTCATAGAGGTCCGTTCTCGGTTTTGAAAGGTGGGAAGAAATTTGGAAACACGAAAGTGATGAAAAACGTGGCTAATACAAGCGTTTTGAAATGGGCTGGGCGTTTGCTTTGTTTATGGGAAGGTGGTGAGCCGTACGAGATTGAATCTGGATCGTTGGATACAGTCGGGAGATTTAACGTTACGATTAACGGCTCCGATGATGATGATTCTTCCGACAGAGATTTTCCTGGTCATGATATATGGGACACAGCCGCAGATTTGTTGAAACCCATACTTCAAGGTAATGTTTTACTCCCTTAAAAGTAAAGTTAATTAATTAAAGGATGTAGTCCATTATATTTCACACCAAAAAAAAGTATGTAGTCCATTATTCAGACAGCGGCGTAAAATTAATCAAGTAATACTCCTCCGAAACTATATAAATTAAATTTATTTTTATTTTATGTAGGTGTGTTTAAGATGCCACCGAAACGGTTCTTATCACATTACAAAATCGACGATCGAAGAAAAAGACTTTTGACGGTGACTTGCAACGCCGAAGATATGCTTTTACCTCGTAGCAACTTCACATTTTGTGGTAAATAATTTGCAAGTTTATTACATAAATTATACAATTTTTTTTTTTAATATTTATAGTAATGGAAAATGATTATGTACAGAGTACGATTCGGAATTCAAGATGATACAAACGAGAGAATTCAAGATCGATGATCATATGATGATTCATGATTGGGCCTTCACAGATACTCACTACATACTGTTTGCCAACAGAGTCAAGCTTGATCCAATTGGTAATAAAACTAACTCACTTCTGTTACTACTTACAAGATCATTTACACGATCGATCAATAATACATATGCATTGCAAGGAATCTGATATGGATATATATTATCTGCAGGTTCCATGGCGGCGATGTGTGGGATGTCACCGATGGTATCAGCGTTATCGTTGAACCCAAGCAACGAGAGTTCCCCGATTTATCTCCTCCCAAGATTTTCCGAGAAGTCTATGGGAGGTAGAGACTGGAGAGTACCAGTCCAAGTGTCTTCTCAGTTATGGCTAATTCACTCCGGAAACGCTTATGAGACTAGAGAGGATAACGGCGATTTAAAGATTCAGATACAAGCTTCTGCTTGCTCATACCGGTGGTTTGATTTTCAGAAAATGTTTGGTAAGTTATCAAAATAGAAACCTCTCACGGCAATTATTAATTAGTTCATATACGATTTCGACATAACTTCTTCCAAACGTTAGGGTTTTCATAGGTGTTCGGAAGATAGCTATTGAGCTGTTTATAATTAATTCCTTTGATTTCTTACAGGATACGATTGGCAAAGCAACAAGCTGGATCCTTCTGTTATGAATCTGAACCGTGGCGACGACAAACTACTTCCTCATCTAGTTAAGGTATTAAGTTTACATGGCCTAAGAAAATGTTTTCCTTGCGAAACGTACGTCTCAAAATTATTCTGTGAGGATTTTTTAATGTTTTCAAACAAATACGAAGTGGAGATAAGTAAACAAAAGTAATTAACGTAGGTATCTATGACCTTGGACGCAACCGGAAACTGCAAGAGCTGTGACGTAGAGCCTTTAAACGGTTGGAACAAGCCGTCAGATTTTCCGGTTATAAACTCATCCTGGTCCGGAGAAAAGAACAAGTATATGTATTGTGCAGCCTCTTCGGGAACTCGACGTGAGCTTCCTCATTTCCCTTTCGACATGGTCGTGAAGTTGGACTTAGAGTCTAATATTGTCCGTACTTGGTCTACCGGAGCTAGGAGATTCGTTGGTGAGCCCATGTTTGTCCCTATAAGCTCCAACAAAGAAGATGAAGACGATGGTTACATTATCGTTGTCGAGGTACGTATAGGTATATATAGACTTCGATTTATTAGTTATTATAAGATGCATCTGTGACGAATATTTTTTTATACGATTTGTTATATACTTTTTTTTTTAATGTATATATAGTACGCGGTTTCGGTGGAGAGATGTTACCTTGTGATTTTGGATGCTAAGAAGATCGGTGAATCCGATGCAGTCGTGGCGAGGTTAGCAGTTCCGAGGAATTTGACGTTTCCTATGGGTTTTCACGGTTTATGGGCCAGCGATGATTGAATTTGGTTGATACGATTTTATGATTCATTTGGATTGATATATATACATATATATATATATAGTAAAAATCAGCTACTTTTATTATATTTTATCTGTTAGGAGTAGAAAAAGTGTTCAAATTGTCCCGAGAAGAAGCCATGGTTATTGTACCATAGTGTAAAAAATTGTAAATTGTAAATAAAAATGTATATTTCACACGCATGACGACCGTCTCCGTTTGTAACAATTGAAAATACTGCAAGAAAAGCTTCAACTATGGCTCGTGCGACATGTCTTCCAGATCATAGTGCACACAATTTGGCAGAAAATAAATAAACGAAGACACGATGAACTTTCAATATCTAGCTCAGCGATTTGACTCAAAACATTGACAAACAAACAAATCATGAATAGATTGTCTTAAATCCAAGTTATAGGGGACAATAGATATGAAAGAGGAATGGAAGCTAATTCTTCAAGATCATACTAATTTCATATATTTGATTGTTTTCTCCATAAATCTTCAAAGAAAAAAGCACATGTTGTTAATTTTTGTTGTTAGGTTAATTTTAGATTCAATTATAAGACAATAATGAAAAAAAAAAATTAGTCAAGTGAAGAAGGAAAAAAATCTGACTTTGTAGATTTCTTGTTGCAGCTCCTAGTGAATTTGTCTTTGCAAAAGAAATGAATCTGCCTCTGTTATATACTATACTAACAATCATGTGAATTTTTTAATATATTTATTCGCAATATATGAATTTTTTTGTACCATTTCATGCTGCTTGAGTGCTTTCCTAGATTGTTTAATTAGTTCATAAACGTCTCTGGCGCTAACTTTGGAATAAACAATTTTAAAAGTATAAAAAGCCCTAATTCCCTTCTTCCGTTTTTTTGTTTTTTATCGTGTGTTCTTCCTTTGACCATAACCCGGTTGCATTGACCCTACGCTTCTGTTACTAACCTTAAAGCCTCTATCTGCAAAAGAGGTTTAATGCAAAACCCCTTAATTTTTCAAAACGCCGGCGAAGAAGAGCGAAGCAGTAAGTGAAGAGAAGAGGGAACATCGGAGAATAAGAGAGATTCGCAATGTCGGGGTTCCCGTCGTCGTTTGGTCAATCCAATTCCGGTGGAGGATTCGCCTTCGGATCTTCCTCCGTTACTAGCTCCTCCTCTGCTTCATCTACCACATCCCCTCTAGCTTTCTCCTTCAACCAATCCTCAAACCCTAGCTCCGCCGGAGCTCCTGTATTTGGCTTCGGATCCACTGTATCGAATCCTGTTTCCTCCGCAGCTCCATCATTTGGGTTTGGAAATCCCGCATCCACCGCATCCACCGGTTTCGGGTTCGGATCCTCTGCTGCTCCGTCTCCATCATTCGGATTTGGATCAGCCGTGTCTTCATCTGCTTCTGCTCCCTCACTGTTTGGATCATCTACGAATGCTTCTGCAACTGCTCCTGCTTCTTCTCCTTTCGGATTCGTGACTTCATCGACCTCTCAGCCTCTTTCATCCGCGTCTGTTTCAGCACCATCTCCCTTCGCAACCTCATCCTCCTCCTCATCTTCATCGCTATTCGGAGCGCCAGCCAGTGCTCCAACGTCCCTTTTTGGATCTTCATCTGCCGCCGGCTCGAATTCCCCTCTCTTCGGGGCATCCTCATCGCCCGCTGGCTCAACGCCTCCCCTATTTGGCGCGCCCTCTTCAGGCACCGGCTCCACACCTTCCATCTTTGGCGCCTCCTCATCAGCCTCTGGCTCCTCACCGTCCATCTTTGGCGCGTCCTCATCAGCGTCTGGCTCCTCACCGTCCATCTTTGGCGCGGCGCAGTCATCAGCCTCTGGCTCCTCACCGTCCCTATTTGGAGCCACCGGTACGTCACCGTCCATCTTCGGGTCGTCTTCGTCAGCCGGTTCAACACCTTCTCGCTTTGGGTCGTCCTCGTCAGGCGTAGCGGCTTCTTCACCATCCCCGTTTGGAGTATCCGCCATCACTTCCTCTGCAACCAATCCCATGCCTACCCCGGCTTCTCCTTTCTCCGCTTCTAGTATCTCTGCTTCTGCTCCTTCACAAACGGTTTCGTCATCTTCCTCCTTCTCATTTGGTAACCTTTCAACCTCAAGCTCAGCCCCTGCAACTAGCACATCCCCAGCAGTGTTTTCTATTGCAACCACCACCACTACTTCTTCTTCGACTCCCGCTGCCACTAGTGCTCCATCTTCTTCAGCTGCAGCTTCTACAGCGACTTTCCCTTCTTTTGGTGTGGGTTCATCTGCAACCAACAGCACCCCGGCTACTTCTGCTGCTACAGGGTTTAGTTTTGCTAGCTCGACTTCTGCCTCTGGAACTACTAGCTCTTTTACTGGTTTTGCTGTACCCCAGACATCAACACCTGCATCATCTTCTCAACCACAGACTACTAGTGCTGCAGTCTCATTCAGTAAGCTTTTTTATCTTTGTCTCAGGATTTGTTTGCCTATCCCATTCGTTTCAGTGAATAGGAATGAGAATGTCGGAAGTCATTGGTTAGGATTAGAGAAGGCAGATGTACTTACTCTACCTGAATCTATATACTCGTTATGATGCTATGGTTTGCCTTCTGCATGTATACGTGCCTTCACGATTTGTTTTGTGGATCACGAGCTATGCTTTTCTCTGATTGATGTATTGTGTTCAGATTTTCCATCTTCTACTTCTACGGCTGCTCCTGCTATCAGTTCTGCTACTACAACACAGACTTCTCTTGTTGTGGCTTCGAGTAGTGGGTAAGCTCACTTTAGTTGTGTGCCTAAGAAATTTATATACTTTATTTTTGTTTCATGGTCTCAGGTTCTTTCCATCGTATTTCACTTCAGTTTATTTTTTTGTAGCTGATGTTTCCGTGTTATGTGTTTCTTCTGTGTAATAGGCCAAGCACAACTGTTGCGGCTCCAGTGGCTGGTACTCCCAAGTTGCCATCTGAAATAACTGGCAAAACTGTTGAGGAGGTATGTAGATATTTGCCCTCTTATTGTCTATCTTTTTTTGCCATGTTATATTTTGAGAATATTCAAATGTTCTTCTTTGGCATTTTGAAGATTATAAAGGAATGGAATACGGAGCTGCAAGAGCGTACAGGGAGATTCCGGAAACAGGCAAATGCAATTGCAGACTGGGATAAGCGGATCTTGCAGAACCGTGATGTTCTTTTGAGGCTTGAGGTGGGATTATTTTGTTCTATCATCAAGTCTCTCTCAGAATCTCTTTTCTTTTTTGAATCTTCAAAGACTTTGTTTTAATCACACATCTGATTTTTGCTCAACAAACAGATTGAAGTTGCAAAAGTGGTTGAAACGCAATCTAGTTTGGAACGACAGCTGGAATTAATCGAGACTCATCAACAAGAGGTATGCAGAAAATCTATTATCATCTTATGTGAATCTGTAAATGTGGAGTCAGTATGTAACATGCAGTGTGAATCATTTGTCCTTTATTCTAATCTGCCTAACTTCACATATGTTTGATTCGAAAATGGATAGTCTACACCAAAGTCACTGTGTTAATCATCTGAATTCTCTACTTTTGTTCAAGGTTGATAGAGCTCTGCAAAGCATGGAGGAAGAGGCTGAGCGTATATATAATGACGAGCGGAAATCACTTCTTGACGATGAAGCAGCATCAACAAGAGATGCAATGTGAGAACTCTCAAGTCTTTCCACAACCATGATCTTTCTACAATTATATTATTCTAATTGCTGTGATGATCACATCATATTTATTCCCATGTCTATGATTTTATTTCATTAAACGTACCTGACATCCTAGCCTGATCTATGCTTTACAAGATAGACTTGTTTTCATTTCAGGTATGAACAGTCTGAGCTTGTAGAAAGAGAATTGGAGCATATGACTGAACAAATCAGATCGATAATACAATCCGTAAATGCAAACCAGGTACTCTATAACATATCATATACTATAGTATTTTTTTATTTCCTGTGGATACATCATAAACCATTTCTTTGTGTGTAAAATAGGGTGGAGAACTTGAAGCAGTTGATGGGATGAGTCCACTTGATGTAGTTGTCAGGATCTTAAACAATCAACTCAGTTCCTTAATGTGGATTGATGAGAAAGTAAGTTTTGTAACTTTTTGTTTTAAATGAATTGTCTTCTACGCTATGTTTCTCCTATATCTACAATTGTGTAACTTAATCATTGAACAGGCTGAGGAATTCTCTTCTCGGATTCAAAAAATCGCATCTCAAGGCTCTGGTGCAGACCGTGAATTGATTGCTCCAAAGCACTGGATGTCTTGATAGTTCCTGACGATTTTTCATGAATGTCTTCTTTAGTTTTGTGGAAGGGACAGTCTGATTTTACATCTTAAAGATTTTTTACCTTGAAAGATTTGTATCATTTGGATATTGATTGTTCATGGTTTGTTTGTTATCCACTTTCATGAAGATTACTTTTCATTAGTCATCGCTAGAGAGCTGGCTATTAATGACACCTCCTTAAGTAGTTAAAACGACGACGTGGCGTCCATATCTTACGTTTTTTTCCTTTAATTTTTCTTTCATCAAATCAGAGACTTTCTTACACCGATTTTGAGACGAGTCACGACGACTCTCGCATTTCGAGAGAAATTTCCAGTTCTTCGCGTGGGACGATTCTCTGCAATTAGATTTGCATTCGCGAAACCTTTCAGAGACTATTATTCTTCGCTTACAGTCTTGACCGGTTTCGATGGCGGAGGGAAACGCCGCTTCGCGTTACGTGAAATTGAGGAAAGAGCAGGCTCCTGTCGAAGATATCACGCCCGGCGAACTCAATCAGCCCATAGATGTTCCTCAGGTGAATTCTCTCTCTCTCTCTCTCTTTCTCTGCATTCATCGAACGCACGTTTCTAGACCTCTCCGATCTCGCTCTTCAATCATTCCTTCAGATCTGTATCCTAATCGGAGTAGTTCTCGATATTTACGGTTTTTGATAATAGAGTTCTTGTTGATTCCGGTTGTTGCTTGTGTCGATCTAGACCTCTCGATGAGGTGAAGGAGATGGAATCGTGGTTGTGTTTGACTGAGGATGAGTGTAGCTATTCTCTGATAATTTGACTTCTCTGATCAATCTTGGATTTTTCCTACCATTCAGGCAGGAGATTTCGTGATCTGTCGTGCATTAGATCCTTTCGACGTGATACCAAAATATTTGTATGAGTTGTGACATTAGCTTTAGCTGTTTCTTTTTGGGACTCCATTTTTTGAAATCTTGGGTTCAACACTGATAAGTCAAATCAAGCAGCTATCAAAACAAGGCTAGACTCTTAGTGACGTGTTCCTTTGAAGCTAGCTTCCATATGAGAATGTGTGATGGAAGGAAGAAACTCGACACTATCCTTTTTTCTTTTATTATAGGAGTCATTGTAGTGTGACATTTCATACTACTGAGCTGAAAGTAATTAGTCATGTATTACAATCACTTTACTGCTTTTCTGTTTGAAACTTTTGTTTACAGTTGAATGTTCGCAAGTGCCATGAATGTATGCAAGTTCTACCTGAAACCTATGAACCCCCTTCTGATGAAAACTGGACCACTGGCATTTTTGGCTGTGCTGAAGATCCCGAGAGCTGTAAGGCTTCCTCTTTGTTTTGCAACCGTCTTAACTTTTCGTATTCCATTGTAGAGTTTGATATGCTTTTAATTTCCTTTCTTAATGGAATCTTCCACTGTGTGTGATTTTGCAGGCAAGACTGGTCTCTTTTGCCCGTGTGTACTGTATGGGCGTAACATTGAAGCTGTGAGGGAAGAGATTCCTTGGACCCAACCATGTGTATGCCATGCAGTATGTGTTGAGGGAGGAATGGCACTTGCAGCAGTAACCGCTCTCTTCAGTGGCTACATTGATCCTCAAACAACAGTCGTGATATGCGAAGGCCTCTTCTTTGCTTGGTGGATGTGTGGAATCTACTCAGGCTTGTTCCGCCAAGAACTCCAGAAGAAATATCATCTCAAGGTAAGTTAAATCCCACATCATATTATTCTCATATATTTTAGATATGATCTCAGATTCCTCGTTTTGATTTTCTTGTAGAATGCGCCGTGTGATCATTGCATGGTTCACTGTTGCTTGCATTGGTGTGCTTTGTGTCAAGAACACAGGGAGATGAAGAATCATCTTTCTGATGCAGATGCTTCATCATCAACTACTATGGATCCTCCTCCAGTTCAAGCGATGAACACCGAAGAGAAGAAACACGCTTCATCGTCTTCATCATCGTCTTCCTCTTCGTCTCCATCATCTGCTAAAAGCCAACACAATGATCTTGAGATGGTCCCTCTATAGGAAACATAACTTATTATCTCTGCTGCTTATGCTCTAAGCTGTTTTTTTTTTGTGCAGAGAAGTTTTCGTACCAGCTGATTCTGTTGCCCTTTAGGTTTTACAGATGCAAGTTTGTTGTAAGAACAAGTTCATTTATATTTTTACATTTTACAGAACTTAATTTATGAGGTCAATGAATCTCTTTGGATATGGAAGAAAATTATGTCGCTATAGTTGTGATATATCACACTTTAATCATTGAAAATGTTTCGTAAATCCCATAATCTTTAGTTTATTTTTTTTGTCGTCAATCCTATGATCTATATTTAATTTTGTGAATCGTATTTGATTTAGTTGATCATTTTATAATTGTAGTATAAAGACTGTGATTGTGTTCAAAAAGCGCCCGTGGCCTAATGGATAAGGCGTTTGACTTCTAATCAAACGATTGTGGGTTCGAGTCCCACCGGGCGTGAAGGCATTTTAGTTTATTGATTTGAGGAAATGTCCATTTTTTTTCTCAGATTTTGTTTTAAGTTTCACCGCCTTAAATCAATCGTTATTTCTGTAATAAATAAAATTGTTAAAAAATTATGCAATGAGTTTGTCATTTCTTTTATTTTTACTGTTTTTGATTGTTTCATTATTTTGTACTTTGTAGAATTAGCAATTTAGCACCAAGCAGCAGCATCAAGCACCATTAATCAAAGGGATTTTAATTTTTAAGTTACAAAATATCTTCTTCATTTTTTTCTTTTTTAATTTATTTTTCCTTTTTGTCCGAAGAAAACTCCATTTCTAAATGTTTAAATCGAAAAAAATACAGGAAATAAAAATGCAGACTATGTCGTCTAAAAAGCTCACTGAAACCCATTTCATAAAAGTCTAAAACCCTCGTTCCTAGAAAGATATGGCGAGGTTTCCGTCATCTCCGACGCCTAACCTCCTCTTGAGGCTCTTCTCCTCTAACAAACGATCATCATCTCCGACTGCCGCGCTTCTAGCCGGAGATTTCCAGCTTCGCCAATTCTCCGCCGGCAGCGCTGCCCGTGCGGCCAAGGACGACAAGGAACCATGGTGGAAGGAATCTATGAACAAGCTTCGCAACATCGGGATCTCAGCTCACATAGACTCGGGCAAGACTACGCTTACCGAGCGTGTTCTCTTCTACACGGGTCGGATCCATGAGATCCACGAAGTCAGAGGCAGAGACGGCGTCGGCGCTAAGATGGACTCCATGGACTTAGAGCGAGAGAAAGGTATCACCATCCAATCCGCCGCCACCTACTGTACTTGGAAGGATTACAAGGTGACTTGAGAGACTTCTTTGCTCCGATTCTCTGTTCGTTCATTTCTTCTCAGATTCGTGTGGTTTTGCTGATTCAATTGAGCCTGATCAATCACACTAGTGTTTGATTTTTGGTTTTTTTAGCTTAATCGCATCGAATCCTATTCAGTTTTGTTTGTTTCTAAAAAAAATTCTTGTCAGGTTAATATTATCGACACTCCTGGTCACGTTGACTTCACAATTGAAGTGGAGAGAGCTTTACGTGTATTAGATGGTGCGATCCTGGTCCTATGCAGTGTTGGTGGTGTGCAGAGTCAGTCTATTACAGTGGATAGGCAAATGAGGAGATACGAGGTCCCGAGAGTTGCCTTTATCAACAAGCTTGATAGAATGGGAGCAGATCCATGGAAAGTCTTGAACCAAGTATGTAACCTATGATCCTTCTACACTTTTCTGTGGAATGAGTTAGCTTTACTGTTTACATAACTTCTTTTTTCTACTTACTAGGCAAGAGCCAAGCTCCGACATCATAGTGCAGCTGTGCAAGTGCCGATTGGTCTTGAAGAACATTTCAAGGGTCTTATTGACCTCATACATGTTAAAGCTTATTTCTTCCATGGATCAAGCGGGTTTGTGTTAATTTTCTTAGAATTGCTTATCCGGTACTGTGGCACATAAATTTTTATGTTTTGACATTTTTATCGTTTATAAATTGCAGTGAGAATGTTGTGGCTGGTGATATTCCTGCAGATATGGAAGATTTGGTTGGCGAGAAAAGGCGAGAACTGATAGAGATAGTCTCTGAAGTTGATGACGTTCTCGCTGAGAAATTTCTTAATGATGAACCTGTTTCTGCTGCTGAGCTTGAGGTTTTGTTCATTTTCCTATTGTGTTTATATTGTGTGCATATAATCACGATGGCACTATTAAGCGAATTCTTTTCATCAAACAGAGGAAGATGGTTCCTGAAAAATAGACAATAAATTAGTGTTAGCTGGCTAACTTATTGCCCTTATGTGCATATAATCTCAATGACACTGAAAGTAAATAGTCGAACTCAGCAGGCTGAGTAATAGTCTCCCTAAAATAGATATTGTTGGCCACTTATGGTATTTAGTTAATTAGTTTCACTTCCACGGCTATCAATTCTGAGGGAATGTTAAATTATAGGTCCTAGCTCTTTGACTTGCCTTAGCTAGTCTTAAATTCCTTTTCTTATCTTTTCATTTCTTGCGAGTAGCGTCCATGAATTGCTACGTTTAGATATTATTGTTCTTTTACTTGCAGTTTTGTTACCGTTAACTTTTTTTGACCTACTGTATCTATGTGCAGGAAGCTATTCGCAGAGCTACCATTGCACAAAAGTTTGTTCCTGTATTTATGGGTAGTGCTTTCAAAAACAAGGTATTTTGAAAGATGATACTTTGCAAGTCCTGTTGTCGTATCGATTGAAAAGTTTCAACATTTAGCGTACTCCGTATTTTTTTGTCTGCAGGGAGTACAACCTCTACTAGATGGTGTTCTTAGTTATCTCCCTTGTCCAACTGAAGTCAATAACTATGCTCTTGACCAGAACAACAATGAAGAGAGGGTACTCTACTTGCATTTTTTTTATGGTAAAAGGGTATATCGGTTCTAAATGAATGAGTTTCAGGTAACATTGACTGGGTCTCCAGATGGACCTCTTGTGGCATTGGCTTTTAAATTAGAGGAGGGACGTTTTGGTCAGCTGACATATCTAAGGTAATTACTTGATCTTCTTCTTATTTATAGATGAGATGAATTTGTGAATACCTGAATGCTAATTCTTGTTCTTTTGGAAATGAAGAGTATACGAAGGTGTGATTAAGAAGGGTGAATTTATCATAAATGTTAATACTGGAAAGAGATTAAAGGTTAGTCTATGGATCCTAGTATGGCTTTGAGATTTTTCAGTGCCATGAAGTCCCGTGCATGACTTTATACCAAAATCACACTTTAATACCTATAGTTTCTTATCCCTTACATGAATCCGTTTTCATTTGTTCTTTTTATTTTACCCTTGAAAGTAGCATTTATGTAGCTTGATTTTACTTGAAGGCTATTTAATGTTTCTTGGTGCAGGTTCCACGATTGGTCCGTATGCATTCTAATGATATGGAAGTAAGTCATGTTGTTGCAGTTTATTTTTCTCTTCAAGATTCCATTATGGTACCAACTCTAGTGCCCTGTCTAGTCGGATTCTAGAAGTTTAATTTTGTTTTTCAGGATATTCAAGAGGCACACGCTGGAGAAATTGTAGCTGTCTTTGGGGTCGAGTGTGCATCAGGTATAGTAGAAAATTCGTCTTTCCTTCTTCATCTTTAACATAATTTGCTTCTTTTGGTGTGAGACATACTTTGGGGATGAATTTCTGTTATTGTGTTTATTGTGGGGTCAATTCCTAACGTCGTTATATTATCAGGTGATACATTTACGGATGGATCAGTCAAGTACACAATGACATCTATGAGTGTTCCTGAACCTGTTATGTCATTGGCGGTTCAACCCGTTTCAAAAGATTCTGGTGGACAGGTAACTTCCGTGCTTTTGTAAAGTAAAACAATTTTCCTTTAATTTCTGGCGTTAATAAAATTTATTTTCTTCTGGTGTAGTTCTCAAAAGCATTGAATCGATTCCAGAAAGAGGATCCTACTTTCAGAGTGGGTTTGGATCCCGAGAGTGGCCAGGTATCATCTTAAAGAACTCTCTTGTTTCTCATTTCCTCTCTTCTCTTATTTCAGCCCCTAGTATACAAATTTGATGATTCTTTCATTTATCCTTAATGGGACAGACGATTATTTCCGGTATGGGGGAATTGCATTTGGACATTTATGTTGAACGCATGCGAAGAGAATATAAGGTGCGTGACTTTGTTGCTTCTCGACAAACAAACAACAACAAAAATTCCCTTATTTCTGCTTATTGTTGCCAATTTCATACAAACAGGTAGATGCGACGGTTGGAAAACCCCGTGTCAATTTTAGAGAGACGATTACTCAACGGGCTGAGTTTGATTATTTACATAAGAAGCAAAGTGGAGGAGCGGGTCAGTACGGCAGGGTCACCGGGTGAGTATCTAAAAACTGATATACCCTCAAATGATGTGGTTGGGTTCCCTTCTAAACCAATACTAATAATGTCATGCTTAAAATTCTCATAATGATTAGGTATGTGGAACCACTACCGCCGGATTCTAAAGAAAAGTTTGAATTCGAAAACATGATTGTTGGACAAGCGATTCCGTCTGGCTTTATTCCAGCAATTGAGAAAGGTTTCAAAGAAGCTGCAAACTCGTGAGTGGTCTTTTTTCTCTTTTGACCTTTTGGAATGCTCCTCTCAAGTTGTTTACTGATTATTTGATCTTCAATTCCATCGCAGGGGCTCACTAATTGGTCACCCTGTAGAGAATCTCAGAATAGTATTGACAGATGGAGCTTCACATGCAGTAGATTCCAGTGAACTTGCGTTTAAAATGGCTGCAATATACGCGTTCAGACTTTGTTACTCAGCGGCTAGACCGGTCATTTTAGAGCCTGTCATGTTGGTTGAGTTGAAAGTACCAACAGAGTTTCAGGGTACTGTTGCTGGCGACATCAACAAGTAAAACTCCAAACCCCTTTAACAAACACTTTTTCTCCTTGTTCCATTTCAGAGTTTCGGGGTACTGTTGCTGGGTAATAATAATAACTCAACTTCTTCGACTTTCAGGAGGAAAGGTATAATCGTTGGAAACGATCAAGAGGGTGACGATTCCGTAATCCAAGCTCATGTGAGAGCCAATAACAAGCACATTTTGTCTTACTATTAATAATCCCTTAACTCTTGAAACCGTTTTTCTAACATGTAAATATGTTTTTTTTTTTTTTAACAGGTGCCTTTGAACAACATGTTTGGCTACTCCACCTCACTCCGCTCCATGACACAGGTATTATCATCATCATCATCATCATCATCATCACCACCATAATCATGGACATTTATGAAGATTTTATTTATAATTTGGATAGGGAAAAGGAGAATTCACGATGGAATACAAAGAACACTGCGCTGTGTCTAACGATGTCCAGACTCAGCTCGTCAACGCCTACACCGCCAGCAAAGCTACTGATTAATTAATCCCTTTCAATCGATATTATGGTTTATCATCTTAATCAATTTGTCTTTTCATAATCCAACAATTATTTATACGGTTCACACAAGGAACAAATTCACTCAGTGCCTAATGGGCTTTATAGAAAATCTATTTCAAGGTTATTTGGGCCATGAGCCCTTCAACCTCTATTTAGCTAGTCTACATTTTTGGTATATTATTAATAATCCCATGTAACATGGGCCATCTTTTAGTCAACAGTTTTTCCCAAAATTCTCATTTTGATAATTTTCATTCAGTTAATAGATTTTTAAAAATTATTGACACAGGTAAATAGTGTTTCACCTGTTTCAACTTTCAACAGATATTTGATGTATTGATATATGTATTTCATTCAATTCTCTATTTTATTTAATAAGAAGATAGGGTCTAAAATAAGGCAACCAAAAATCGTTAGAGACAATGATTTGACATAGAGTGGTATGCACGTCAAATAAGAGAGAGGGAAGAAGAAACTGTCTCCAACGAACAAGCTCAGACTTTTCTTTATAACTTCATCTCAAAGCCACCCTCTTTTGTTATCGAAGATGAAGAGTCGTTACCAACTCCTCATCTCCTATAATTACCATCATACCCTCCGGTTTAGTTGTTACTCTTACTCCTCCTATCTAATTTTTGGTTCTCTTCTCCTTTTAACCAACCGTGGATAATTTTACCAAACAGATCAATTTTTGAAATCGATGATCCATTATCGACCACTAACGTCGTTTCAACCTTTAAAAAGACTAAAATTGTTCTTGTCGAAGTCCTGATCCAAGGGAAAGTATTGTAATTTTCGCGGATATTAATCAACGTATTCTCTACAGTCAACATAATTTCCGCTTTAAATTATTTTTATTTTATTTAACTAGTCAATTCAAAATTTGGTGTGGTTTGGTTAGTTAATAACTTACTACTGAACTAAACACAATCCATTAATTATTTTAATAATCAAACGGTCCAACCCCATAACACTAATACCATTTTTGTATATTTATAAATTATAACAAAGCTTTTCCCTCCACGCCACTTCAATATCCAAAAAAAAAAAAACATTTACACCGTACCATGCATCATCATCATCATCCATGCAATCGCAAACCCATCACCGTCTCTTCCCTCCTCTTCTTCTTTCTCTATCTCAACCTCCATAGCCCACAAACCATCGAAGCTCGAAACCCCTCTCAGTTTACAATCAATCCATCCCAGCCTGACGTCGTCACTATACCGGAAATCAAACGTCACCTTCACCGGTTCGGTTACCTCCAACGCAGCAACGACAGTAAATCCGACGCCATTTTGTTCGAGAAGGCTCTCGCTCGTTACCAGAAAAATCTCGGTCTACCGATAACCGGGAAACCAGATTCCGACACGTTGTCACATATTCGGTTACCAAGATGTGGATTTCCTGATTACGTGGAATCCAAAACGACGGCGTTTCACGCAGGACAAAAATACGTGTATTTCCCCGGAAAGCCCAGGTGGACAAGAGACTCTCCATTGAAGCTAACGTACGCCTTCTCGCAGGAGAACCTAACCCCTTATCTAACACCGGCACAAATACGGCGCGTGTTCCGACGCGCTTTCGGCAAGTGGGCTTCGGTGATCCCTGTAAGCTTCGTCGAAACAGAGGATTACGTCTTCGCCGACATCAAAATCGGATTTTTCGCCGGAGATCACGGCGACGGAGAGCCATTCGACGGTGTTTTAGGTGTTTTGGCCCACACTTTCTCGCCGGAAAACGGTAGGCTTCATCTGGACAACGCAGAGACGTGGGCCGTCGATTTCGATGAGCAAAAATCGAGCGTGGCCGTTGATTTGGAATCTGTGGCGGTGCACGAGATCGGTCACGTGCTTGGGCTGGCTCATAGCTCGGTGAAAGACGCGGCAATGTATCCAACGTTAAAGCCCAGAAGTAAGAAAGTGGATTTGAACATCGATGACGTCGTTGGAGTACAGTCTTTGTACGGAACAAACCCTAATTTCACGTTAAGTGCTTTACTTGCGTCGGAGACTTCTACCAATCTAGCCGATGGTACGATGATGATTCGGCCTCAAGGACTTATCTTTTCGACTCTGAGTACTCTTCTCTTTCTGATTTTTCTTGATTTGTAGGTTACTACATAAATCTTCTTCTTTTCTAACTGTTCCATTTAGTTATTAGTTTTGTTGTTTATAAACCATGTTTTCATTATTGTATATTTTATACAGCATCTGAATTTACTCTAATTACTTAAATTTACTAAAATCATCTAGACCACGACTAAGCGTTTTAGGTACTAGATGAACAATTGTCACCTACGTAATGCTTAAGGCTTGCTTGAACATTGGTTTCAATAAGTCTCCAAATGTATAGAATCAATGAATCATATAGTCATGACATATATACTCTGCTTTTTAAGCGGTCTATTGTTTTGGATGTTCATGTTTCTTGTAAAATGGACTTATATATATAGTCTGCTTTCAAACAACAAGGCCCATTATAAATGGGCAACAAATCTTAATGGCCCCAGTGACGTTGCTGAGCTGAAATTAAATTTAGGTTTGGCTTTTGGTTGAGTTTTGCGAAATATGAACTCAATCCAAAGCTAATAGGGTTCGTTGGCACTTAGAAGAAGTTGTAACTCTGGCTTCTTCTTATTCATCTTACATTCATTTTAATTTCGGTTATACTTTTTTTGTTTTTTTGTAGGTTTGGAATAAATAAAACCATACGCACCAGAGAATGCTTAAATCCATATATTGTCAGCGAAATATAACCGCAAAATGAAAAATAAACTTTGAACTGTGTATATACTTGATATATGCATAGTAAATAATTTGTTTTAATTAAAAAAAATAATGAATTGTTCCGACTTCCGACACAATTTCTTTGGATATCTATCCCCAATGGTCGCTGTCGCATTCAACAGAAAGTAGGCTCCACGGCCCATAATCATATTAACGGTACGGCCTGGTTTAATCGCTTTCTTCTCTTCTCTATCATTTTTTTTTGGGTTGGTGAATCATAAATAATCGGGGAATATTTTAAGAGCAGAAGACTATTGCGATTCTCCCTTTAAATGAAAAATATCAAACTTGTTTTTGGTAACAGATAATTACACATCGATGTTTTCAGGTTTTTTTTTTTTTTAATAATAAGCTTACCGTTTTTTATGAATTTGACTATATGTAGCGCAGATTTTTCTTTCTGCAAAAAAAAAATTCTAGAGTTTTCTTTGTTATTAATCTTTTTGTTGGCTGAGAGCCTGAGACAGACAAGGTAAATCACTTTTTCCCCTAACTAAATCATCATCTTCAACTTCATTGGTTCCCACCATTTGGGCGCAGAATCTATAGTTCATTTGACAAATTAATTATTACCTAACAGCTATCTTTTTTTCTGTCACGAAGCCACAACTCTTGTACGTTATGTCATTTTGTAATATGTACGCGCGCTAATTATTTTTCTATGTATCACTTTCAGTCATCTACTAATCAATTTGCATCGCTTGTGTACAGTTACCTTACTTGAAGGCTTGAAGCCTTTGAACAAAATAAAACTCTCTAGAACTAAAAACGTTATATTTGACACTACCATTCTTGAGTGTTTCTTATAAATATGAAATTAATTAGGTATTCTATATTTTTTTTTAAAAAAGGTTGTAGTAAAACGAATTTGAAAAAACAATTAGAGGTATTTAAGAAGGGGACAAGAGGGATAAAGGAGGAGCATATGGTCTATCATTTTAACATGTTATTCGTCAGAAGGGACTTATTATCTAAACAAAAAGATGACTTCTTTTCTTTCATTCATATATACATGTAACTTTTTCTTTCTAAAATTGACTTAAAATAAAAAAAGATCGAGTGTTGTTGAGAAAAAACTCATATAATAGTATTCGGTGTCATTATGGGCACATGAGGCCGCACGTGTTCTTGCTGTTTACTTTGGGATCACCGTCGTCTGTCACGTCACGTGATTCAAGAAAAAAAAATCAAAAGAATAAACTAAAAAAGAAGTATATAATAATATCAATAATGTCATATATTCGTAATCAAATGTATGATAATATTAATATATGTGGGTTACGAGCGTTCTTAGTGGTCAGTTGCTTACTTCCACTACTAGAGTCACGAGACCACAACATTTCGGGGGCATCAAATCCGCAAGTCAATTTTTAAAAAATGTACAAACATAAATTTTAATATAAGACCAAAAGAAAAGACTCTGATTGAGAAAGAGGGACTATGAGAAGATAGAGCGACCGTACGTCGATGTACTTTGTTTGAATGAATTTATCTCTTTCGCTAATCTCTTTATGTTTTCGGGAATAAGATTATATTTTGTTGCAGCAAGTATCGAATTTTGCTTGGTAAATAAAGATAAAAATAGTAAAATTTAGAAAGATTTTACGAAATTGAACCTTCTGAGCGCCAAGTAGAAGGTGCCAGCTGGAAAGACACTGTCGGTTAGTAAGTGAAAATTAATTAAATAGAAAATAGTAAAAAAACAAATATCTCATATGGGTACCTCTCGTTCCGTGCCATCGTGTTTAGTTAATGCTGAATGTGCAGTGGGGTTGGGCCCTTGTGGGAAGTCACTTTGTTAGTAACAAACTAAAAAATTAATTATGATTTTCACATATATTAAAATATTTGGCTCTATAATACTCCTAAAAACGACCTTAATGTGATAAACCCTAGCAAGCGTCACAGGACACGGCCCGTTTCTTTCTCCTTCTCTTTATTTCAACCCATACTATTTCATTTTGATTAGATTTTTTAAATATGGGAAAATATTACTTTCTCGTGCGAATTAATCGATAGTTACTATTTCATTTCTCGTTTTGTAGGAGATTACTCAAACACATCAATTAAGATTTCATAAGACTTATATGAGGTTAATTTCTACAAAATGACTTATTATTCGCTATACTCTTTTTTTTTTTTTCATCATCTTATTCTTCTTCTTTTGGAATGTTTATGGCCCCCACATGCAGCCACGTGGCTAAATTACCTTTTCCTTTATTTATTCGTTTATTTTTTTTTTGTTGTAAAAAGATGAAAATAGTTTATCTTAAAAAACCATGTGTGGATAGGTCAAGAACAAAAATTGTCGGCACGTACCATAAAGCATGTGTTATACCTATGTATGTCTGAATGAAAGAAAAAAAAAAGAAGAAGAAGAACAAGACAGAGATCAAGGTAAAATTAGGTTAATCAATAATTTATCCGCCGAACAGTTCTTTTACTTGTAAAATATATTAATTCAGACTAATAAGGCTTCTTACATGCATTATTCGTCTGCAGCATATATTCTATAGATGAAAATACTTATGTTTTTAAAGTATAAAAATTCATAATCAGTATACGCCTTAGTTAGTTGGGCAATGGAGCAGATTGTTATTGCACATGAGCGGAGCAAATTGTCAAATTACGAGCAGTAGGTCGATGTATACATAAAATATATGTATACATGCATATTTTTTTTATATATATTCTATAAATTAATTACTCTTTATTACAAACGATTTGGTAGCCAAGCAGCAAAGTTTCATATGCGGATGCGTATTATCATCTATTTGAAAGAAAGAAAAACTAAAGAACACAGAATAGATAGACCCACTACAAAATGCGTACGTAAAATTAGTACAGAAGCAATGAAAGAGACGTTTATATGATGACTGAAAACATTTTTCTTGTAATTTTGAGAATACAACAAAATATGAATTATAAACTCAGGATAGGTTAACTCTGTTCTGGTTTGAAAAAAGTTGTTCACTATCATATGTTTATGATTCAAATTCAGTTCTACAGCATTCTGTTAAAACAATTTTTAATTAGTTGAAGACGAATATAAATTTTATGAAATTTGAATTTTTAAAAGAATGATTTAATTTCTTAGAATGAGAAATAGTTTTGTATCATTAAGTAATACGGAAACTAAATAAAGTTATACAAATGAGTTTACGAAGATAATAATTAAAATCAATGACGTAAAAAATAAAATAAAAAGCAATCATGATATCTTTTGTAATGTTTTAAATAGCTCTTATTTTCATCATCAGATATGTATCTCGAACAGAAATCCACAACTTTCAGATAATGAGAAAACAAAATCGAATTGAGTTGAACTGTATATATACCAGTCCACTTGAATTATCCGTACTTCATTCTCCAAAACGTGACATCGCACTTTCTCAATATATACCAATACACTAGTTGCTGAAAACCCTTAAGTAATATTCATTATACCGTATACAGTTTGTATATAGTTCTCTTATATTAATTGTTTCTTCAATATGAAAATATACAAAGGAAATAAACTAACCAATGAATATTGTTTCTTCAAAATCAACTCCTGAAAGTAGGAGAGTGAGAGTTGGCTAGGGCCTATGTGACATGTTTAGCTCACGTTTTCTTACTGTTCGATCATGATCAACGAATTAGATATCAAGAATATATGATTCCTTTACAAACTCTGTGAATCAGTTTAAACTTTGATTCGTAATCTCTCTGTCTAATAGATATACTGGAGGTAAATGCTGTATTGAGCGGCACAATAGTATTTACAAATTCATATACAAGTTTTTGTGATACTTTAATTACCAACTGTATAAATTTTAGTAAATGATGTAGAGTAGCTTTAGATATCCAAGTATAGAGTTTGAGCATTTCAATAGCTAAATAGTAAGTGAATAGGCTGTTTTCAATCATTTTAGATTTAGTTTTCAATATATGTAGAAAAAAGGTGGATAGGATAATAATAAAAGAATGAGAGAAGTGAATAAGTAGAGTCGGTCACTCACGGTGCATGGTCACTCTCTCTGCACGTTCTCTTGCCCTCTTCTCTTTCTCTTTTCTTCTCTCTCTCTCATCATCTTCCCTATTAAAGACTCTAACCAGTCACTGACTCTAGAGAGTGTCTATGTGAGAGAGAAAGAGAGAGACAGAGTCAGCGTCTACAAAAGGAGAGAAAGATATATATAGAGACCTTGGACCATTAACCGATCAAATCATAACAAAAAAACAAAATGGATGTGTATGGCTTATCTTCACCAGATAACTTACTTAGAATCGACGACCTTCTCGACTTCTCCAACGAAGACATCTTCTCCGCCTCTTCTTCCACTTCCACCGCCGCCACTTCCTCTTCTTCCTTCCCTCCTCCTCATAACCCTAATTTCCTCCACCACCATCTCTCTTCCTCCGCCGATCATTCCTTTCTCCACGACATTTGCGTTCCCGTATGATATATATATATATGCTCTCTCTCCATTAATCCAAGTTTCTCTTTGATTTTTGATTTGGTTTTAACTGGTTCTTGATTTGATTTTTTGGTTGCAGAGTGACGACGCAGCTCATCTTGAATGGCTCTCGCAATTCGTCGACGATTCCTTCGCTGATTTTCCGGCGAATCCATTGGGAGGAACTATGACCTCCGTCAAAACTGAAACCTCCTTTCCCGGGAAACCAAGAAGCAAACGATCGAGAGCTCCTGCTGCTTTCGCCGGAACTTGGTCACCGTTGCCGGAATCAGATCAGCAGATTCACGTCGCCGGGAAGTTCAAGCCGAAGAAAGAACAATCCGGCGGAGGAGGAGGAAGACATCAATCGACGACGGCGGAGACGGCGGAAGGAGGGATGAGAAGATGCACTCACTGTGCATCGGAGAAGACGCCGCAATGGAGGACTGGACCACTCGGACCAAAGACGCTTTGCAACGCCTGTGGTGTCCGGTTCAAATCCGGTAGACTCGTACCGGAATACAGACCGGCTTCGAGCCCTACTTTTGTTTTGACTCAGCACTCGAACTCTCACCGGAAAGTCATGGAGCTTCGACGGCAGAAGGAAGTTATGAGACAACCTTCACAAGTCCAACTTCACCATCACCACCACCACCATCCGCAGTTTTAGTCCCTCGTCACTTTCTTTTTTTTGTTCGTTTTTTTTTGTTGGTTCTTCTTGGGGGTTGGGTTCGGAGGAGTCACGTGATGATGACGTGTCGCGATCCTAGCGGCGTTGATCACGTGACCGACGACGACGGGAGCCTAAAATTAGTGTTATAAAAAAAAATCAAACCTCTGCTAAAATCAACCTCATTAATTGTTAATTAATTATTAAAAAAAAACAAATTGAATACATTGGTTTGCCTTTTCTCCTAATTTTCTCATGTATTGAAGATGGAATTATAACACGGTATTAATTTCCCGCTTACAATAAAGAGAGTCAGTTTTCAGAGTTAAATATATTATCCACTTGCAGTCTTGCGCCCTTTTTTTGACTTCAACGTTTCGGCCTTAATAATTAGATAACGAACCAGAAGACGAGGAAGACCATGGAGTCCTAATGCCGGTTTACTCAACGTTGATTGTTGGTTCGGTTTGTTTTTTACTCGAATTTATAAAATCTGTTTCGAATTCATTCTGGTTCCACACAAAGTGGAGGTGTTCAATTTACATGAATCTTAACCGATCAACCCTAAACAAAGAAGTACATTGAGTTCTACATTTGGTCTCGATCTGATTACTATTTTCATTTTTTCCTCAGCAAAAAAAAAAAAAAAAAAACAACTTCAAACAGAACAACTGTATTAAACACAACATCATCACGAACTTGTATGGCTAACTATTGCCGAAGAACCAAAGCCCTTGAAACACACAAGACAAAAAGGGATTACATCTTTGGTATTGGACACCAAACAAAAAAAAAAAAGAAATGGAGTTTTAAGCATGTTTTAGACATTTATTATTGTCTGTGTAATTTTCCTCCAAGAGTAATCAAATTCCGTTAACTAGAAAATGGAGTTTGGTGTTCTTCAGACGGAGATACCATAGTTGCTGATCTTGTTCACTTCCTTAGTCAACGCGTTTCTCTCTTGCTTTATTTCAGAAGCACGGCTTGATATCTGAGGTTGAACAAGTGAGGTAACTCCATCACACAGAATAAATATATGGTTACTAAATTTATTCTAAACTAGTTCAGCTCCTATATTCTAACCTAGAAGAGCGAAGAGACGAGTATACTTACTTGAGAACGGAATCGAGAAGCTTCTCTCGTGGGCAACTCTTTTAGCACATCTTTCAAACCTGTATATACAAATCAATGATAGTATAAGTCAATAAGCTTTGTCACAGATAGAGTTTTCCTATTCTGCTCAATACATATCTTTGGTTGAACAAAATGTGGGAATTTAAGACGAAAGATATAAACATACCTGCTGCTTGCTTTTCAATCTTATAAGCTGAGCTGACCACACCTCGTATCTGTTTGCCTGCTTGTCTGGGTAAGAAGATAGAGTGAGTTCACATAGTATTCACGTTGATACATATCCAGTATAATGATCTATAGTCTGAATGATATAAACCTGAGTTTCATCCTTCCTCTAATCAACTCATCTTCTGCCACAGTTGCAACTCTCTGAAACAATCAAGTCATGATCAATTCTAAAACCATAATCCAATAAAGGCTTCCAACAAACTGCTATTACTGAAGACCATTGACTAATAATTTAAGGCTATATATATATATGCCACATTCAAGAAAAAGCAACTTATGTACATTGGCAAAAAAATATCCTTTCTCTAAATTGCTTCACCAGTGAATGAAGCAAACCCCGTAATACCATCCATCCATATGAACCTAAAGTAGCACCATCTTCATCCATATCCACTTAACACAGACTACATAAGAGAGTTCTCTGCTTGAAATCTTAACCCTTTCAATCTTCATACTAAACGTCTGACATTTTCTACTTCAAAATAAAGGGATTTTGAAACAAATGGACAAGAGCTAATTGCATACATCGAAAGTCTTCTCCACAAACGTAAACCTCATTCTGAAAAGAACAACTTCTACAGGCTTACCTCTAACTTTTCGCTTTCGGCTGTAAGACGATCCATTGATTGTCGTAACTCTTTTACTCTAAGATCTGCTCTAGAAAGCAAGGCCTGGATCCAAAATATAGGGTCACGACTGTAGAACAGCTTAAATCACAAGGAGACCACAGTTAATACATTCAACGAAGATGTAAACAACACCGACCTCTTCGCTTAAGAACATGCGTATAGTATTGTAATATACAAATCTTCTCGTCTCTGCAAACAAACATAGCAGTCACTAAAACAATGCATAGCATAATATCTTACAAGATTGAACTCTAGGGAGAACATACTTTTCAGAGCAAAAATCCCAACCCCAAAAGCTAGAGTGCCTGATATTAGCGGATGAGATGCAGCAACATTTACACCCTCTGCAAACAAATATATGAGCAGAGAGAAACGAGGCACAACGACATAGTAAACACGAGGTAACCAGAAGAGTAGAACAGACCTTTAATCTTCCCAAACACCATATGCTCGTAAACGTTATACTCAGAAGCAATGTCTTTAAGAGAATCCTACATGCGAAAACACTCGATTTGGTCAGAGGATTAACGAATCACTCGAATAACATAGAGAATAGGTGTTGATTTCAGATTCGCTTTGGATTCCAACGAGAAAGAAGGGGCCATTAAGCTTACAATGGTTTGGCTCGTGTGAGCCAAGGAAGTGTCTCGAATTTGAGATAATCGAGACCTGGAGGCGTCAATGGTGGAATCCAATGTCTCCACGATCGTTTTCTGGTACACCAGCGCCTGACGCATCGTATCATCGATCCAGGAAGCCGCATTTTCCACCGTAGTCGCTGCGATCTTAGAACTTGGAATCGAAGACGTCAGAGGCTGCGATTGCATAGATTGTGGAATCTCCGGTGGTTGCGCGTCTTCCATCCCTGAGGATGATTCTCCTAAGGTTGCCATGAGAAATGATCTCCAAATCCAAAACTACGACCTCCTTCGCTCAAAGTTCTATGAAACCCGGTGGATGGAAAAATGACCCGAATATTAAAATCGGGCCCCGTTTCAAATTGTTTTTTTTTTACAACTTAAGCCCCTAAACTTCAATTAAGTTTCCCAACGGTCTCCGTTTATTACTGAATTTTCTACTTAACCCAAACTTAACAACTTAAAATCTTAATTTATTCCCATTAATAATTAGACTCCAGTAAATTTCCTTCCAAGTCGTCTTTAGTCTCTCAAATATAGCACTCATGTTGATAAATTCTTTCAAAATTATTAGGTGGATGCAGAAAAAGTTTGTCCTTAAGTTTGTAGAAGGAATATGGGTTAAAAAAAAAATTTCAATGTCAAGAAAATGGAAATTTCATATAGATAAGTTTATACTCGACAAAATTAAAACATGAGTTGAAACAACTGTCTAATACTGATCGCTAGCAGACACTTAGGGTATTTCTTGCAACTATGATCCCTTTTTTGGTTTATCAAGCCTCTCTTCTCATCACTTGACAAAGTATAGCTTGCCCATAACATGAAGGACAGCGACGAAAGCAATGAAGCCGATGCTCATGACAAGGACAACATTAGGGGAGATCTTGAGACCAGGTGCGTCATCAGTGTAGAACTGAAGCATGGATCCGGCTGCACCACCAGAGGCTCCTCCTCCACTTGAACCGCTGCTCGGCTTCCTCCTACGCATGCTTGCAGCTGCAGCTGCACTTCCTCTCTGTGGTGCTCCACTACCCACCATTCTTCCTTCTCTTCTTTACTAACTGAGATATGGTGTAGAGAAAGTTAGAAGATTTGGAAAAAAAAAAAAACTCAGCAGGAAACCTTTGTATAAAGCATATGAAAAAAAGGAGAAGTAATAAAAGAAATAGTGAAGACAAATAAAAGATAAGTCTCAAAACATCAAGTTGTGTTATCTAATGCAATATAGAAGCTGGCTCTGCCGTGTAATTTGAATCGCAACTGCATAAGACATCTAATTTAACCTGAATCCTCCCAATTATTAGCACAAATGAAAAACACAAACTTACGATCTCCACATCAATTTAACTCGACACAAAATCAGGTTTGACCTTTAACTTCTAAGAGTTGTAAATACATGGTCAATCTTCCTGCTATCAAGAGTCAATCAAAACAAAAACAAATAATGCGACATTCTAAACCCCACCCAGAAAAATCGATTTAAACATTGGAATTGTAAAACTAGAAGCATTAAAGACGAAATTTAGATAAGCAATGCAAAATTCTCAACACATCTGGTCGAATTCAACATCGAAAACTATTTAACGATGAACATGCAAAACTATTCCTAGTCCATCCCTTAAATTTTCTCAGATGCCAAGGCAAAGAACAAATCGTATCAGATCGGAAATCGTAAATTAACGCGACTCGGATTCAACATGGAGATCTCATAATCAGATCTACGCTCTCATCAAACTTTATAGCAGATCTAGAGATTCCTCAAACACGTAACCATTGAATCACACAAATATACAGGAGGTTAGATCGTACAGCACCAAAACCAAATAAAACTCACCTGATTTCGCTTAGAATTTCTGATGTCGACGAGAACGATACCAGACGAATAGATTTTTCGGACCTTTGGGGGTTGACCGGACTCTAACCTATTTATAAGACCATGTCCATTGGAATATTAGGACAGTATGTTGGCCCAGTATCCTAAGCATTTAATTTAAGAAAATAAAGAAAAAAGCCCAATTACGGACCATATTATATCTAAGCGAAGAGGTTGAGCATACTGTCTCCTAAGGGTATGTGGCAGCGCGTGGTTGGCCGAATTTTTATTAGCTGATATAGTGAAACCCTCTGCCCGAGCCAGAGTATCTCTCTCGACCAAATTGTCTGCAGATGCTCTTTCGACCATTTTTGTTCATTTTTGTTCTGCAAATTCTCGAAAATTCTATGTAATGAAATAATTTTTTTTAATAACATATGAGAATTTAAATTTAAGATCAAGAATTAAAAAAAAATTTACAATAAATTATTTTTAAATTATTTTTAAATTCTTAAAAACAGTAATTCACTAATATACATGCTCTAAAACCGGTTATTCTCGCTACACACTTTATACCGTATCAACTAATAAACTAATGCCATTTCAGCGTAACTATAGCGTGTTTTTATAAAAATCGGTAAAGCTCGGAGCTAACTAGCTTAAAACCCAAAATTGAAGGCCTATAAAAGCCCAAACTAGAGAGTTTACACTTTATAGAAAATAACTAAGTGCGGTACAAACTAAGCTGAATGGAATCGGAAGCGAAATCGCGGAAGCAAAAGCGTTTGGAAGCGAGGAAACGAATTTTTCCAAAAATTTAGAAAGCGGGTACATATTGGAACGTACGGATTAAGGTTTAATAGACTTGAAATATATTAAATAAATAATTAGTTTAATTAAATAATATTAAAAATAAAATAAAAAACAATATGTGATAAAAATATATTAAGCCTAACAAAATTGTAATGACAGGTTAACTTCTTCTTCTATAATTTTAGTTGAATTCGGAATCGAACGATTCTTCAACGTTTCCAAACGGTAAAATTTTGGAATCGCGATTTCTGATCGGTTCTGTGCAATGTAGGTACAAAGTTATACTTGTAAGATAATAAAAGATTGATTGTATAACTACTCAGGTAAAAAAACAAAGATTGATTGTGTAATCATTTATTTAATTGGTAGTCTGGTGGTGCTGGGTCATATGAGAAGAGATCTGATTAAAAATATGTGATTTTACAGGCAAATTAATGTTTATGACTTTTTGATTCCCTAAATCAAAGGACCAAATCAAACAAAAAATCTGCCAACTAAATGCTGAATTAGGCCTACTCCAACTCCATTATCGATTATAGATGTTTATGTAGATTTTCCAAAAGTCTCTTTTTTATGTATGAAAACAGAAACGAAAAAATGCTCATATGAGTTTTATCAAACTCTGGTTTAGTTGTTTTGTTAGTAAGTAGTTACAAATTGAGAGAAAAATGAATAATGAAAGAAGTTTCGTACGTGTGTACGTACGTACCAAAGTACGTAGACATTAAAAGCAATTTATCCTCTTCTGTTTGTGTAGATCTCAAACACGAATCTCGAGAGATGGAGACAGGTATGAAAATCAGAGAGTGTAATGATACAAATGTATCGGGCATAAGTTATGGAGCCTGACAATTTGTGTACGGTGAGAGTCGACAAATACTGTGGTACCTTTTTTACCTTCGTACATATCGATCCACTCCAAAATCAAAATTTCATAAATGTGTTCCACTCAATCAGTGTTGTATAGATATGTACGTATACATATATATATTCTCGTAAAGCAATGACGCTTTTGGTTTATTTTATAAAATGTATATTTATTTTTTTCATTGTATCCATATAAATAATAAATAAAAAATCATTCTGAAGCTCGTGCTACTTCATGAAATTTAATTACAACTGATGATTTTTTTTTTGAAAAATATATATATCCAAAATAATGTATGCGTGGTTACTATCTCTCAAATCATAATAAATCTTAGATTTTTTTTTAAAAAAGTCATAATAAATCTTACCAAAAAATTAGTTTAATTCGGGTCTCTTCTTGTTGGACCACCATCTTTCTTTTAATAAGCACAAAATCCCATTCGATCTTCATGTGAAAACACATATTAAATACTCGTTATGTTGATTATTGAGTGGAGCGTATATCATATATATTTCGAAGATCGATAATGATACTATCGTCTTGCTTTTAAAAATACAGTGATATATCATAGATGCGAATATAATAAATTAGGGGAAAAAATATGATGTTAAATCTAATAAATAAGGTGGGGGAGACACAAATAAATATAAGAAAAATAATTGAATCAGACAATGATAACGTGGTAAAAAAAAAGGTTTTGACGGGACGATATTTTGTGTAAAGGAAAATCAATTCGGGTCCCTTTCTTGTTGCATTTATCATCAAACGTATTCGTGCGTTGGCGGTAGCTTCGTTTCGGGTATCTCAATTCATTGCTTGTACTTTATTTTGTCCCTCCACATTCATCTATTTCAACAGTATTTTTTTGTTTTCTTTAATTATCACCACCACATGGAAATAAATACATGATCGAGTTTATTTTTCTTTTACCCTGTCTCTTGTACCCTAGTTCAAAACTTGTACTTTCTTGTTGTTTGAGTTGCACTTGTCGAGCAGATAGTTGATAAGGATGAAAGATTTGAATGGTTATTATATTTGTTGCGTTTGGTATAGGTATAACACGAAAAAAAACACGTATTTTATCATTCATATTTTCTCTTTTTTCTTTTTCTCTTTCTTTGGTTCATCAGGTCAGACTGTGCAACATCGCACCATTTTTCTTTATAATTAGTTTAAGAATCTGATCGTAAATAAAATTTTATTTTCTGTTAATTCAAGGGATTCTAATCATAAATTCATAGTTTACCACTAAGATAATGCCGTTCATTATTTATTTAAAGATACATCTAAGAAAATATTATCACCAAAACGTGTTGTTACCAAAATTATCAATTCAAAGCTTATAAGAAAACACATTTTGTCTAATGGTTTTAAGTAAATAAATATTAACAAAATTAGTCTTTACCTCATTATGCGCATTTGGTAAAATAAGATGGACGACGGATTTTAACCAAAAAAGATGGATGACGGATTCTAATTGAAGAAACTATAATAAAAAAAAAAAGGAAGAAAGAAAAGTGTTGTGCGTTGTCTTTGATGGAACCTCCACACGTGTGAGTCTCATTGTGGTCTTTGAAAGCTCGCGACGTCGACGTTGACGAATGCCACACGTGTGTCCTTAACAGTACACGCGTTAAAACAGTTTGTTAAAAAACTAACATGAGTAGGCCCCATTTAAACCCTCCGGCTCCACCAGAGAGTTTCACCGATGTTGAGTTGACGTCTCTCTCTCCACCGTCTTCTACAGACTGTCGGCGGAGTTCTCATTTGTTTAAATGATTTTTTAATTTTGTATATTTATATGTTTGAAGTACTTAGAAATAGGTTCATTTGAAATTTCAAATGCTATTTTATATGAATGAATAAAAAATGAGAAATTTAACCAAAAGCTTAGCTGTTGCACTTACACATTTGTTTTTTTTTTCGGCTTAAATAGATATTAATTACTTAGTTTGGTAACTTCTCTCCAGCTTCCATATGACTCCAAAAACCTATGTCGATTCTCTTTTCGATAGTATTCCACATTATAAACAAATCCTCTAGATTTAATGTACCTTCTGACTCTATATATATATATATGAACAATTACTTATACAAAGAAACTATCGAACATCATTTGACTACAGTGTTTCAATTAAGTAGAGAATTTGTATCATCTACGCCGGTTTGATTTCAAGACTTGAAGTATTGTATCTTTAACATTTGACTCATGTCGCAAAAATCTCGTATATATATATTAGTTTGCGTTCCGGAAAATGAATTCAAATATGGCATTAAGTCATTTTTCAAAAGTTCATAATTGGTAGTATTTAAAACCAAGAAGGGAATTTTCTAAACAAATAAAATAAAACGTTATTTTCTCATAGTAGATGGGAATTAAGTTGCTTTATCTCGACGAAAGAGATTCAAATCTGGAATATTGTTACGTTTAAAAAAAAAAAACTGAACTTTCGTAGTTGCACGAGCTACATTTTAATACTATTAAATATTCAACACACACACTATAGCTAGCAACAACAAATTCAATTCACAATTAAAAATTGAAACTTAAAAAAAAAATTAAAAAAAAAAAGAAGAAGAAGAAGAGAAGAGGAAGTTGCCCTACAATCTGAAAGCCACTCTTCACCATCGTCTAACATACTGTATATAAAAAGCCTCTCAAAAGCCTTTCCTTTTTATTCAATTTCAATTTCTTCACCACTCTCACTCATCCTAATAACGACAACAACAACAAACAAAAAATACCCATTGTTTCCGGTAATGGCGTGTTCGAGTTCTCTGGCGATTTCTCCGAGGAAACTCCGATCAGACCTTTATTCATACTCTTACCAAGACGATTCTAACACACCACTCGTTATCTCTGTTCTCTCCTCGCTGATCGAACGGACTCTAGCTCGGAACGAGAGAATCAGCCGGAGCTACGGTGGTTTTGGTAAGACACGTGTCTTTGATTGCCGGGAAATTCCTGATATGACGATCCAATCGTATCTAGAGAGGATTTTCCGGTATACCAAAGCCGGTCCATCGGTTTACGTCGTGGCTTATGTGTACATTGACCGGTTCTGTCAGAATAATCAAGGTTTCAGAATCAGTCTCACTAATGTACATCGTCTACTCATCACAACCATCATGATCGCTTCCAAATACGTCGAAGACATGTAAGTTACACAAGTTTTATTGAATTCGTCCAAAATACAAAATTTCCTCTGTTCTCTCTTTCTCTGTAAAGTCAAAAAAATTCTCATTTTTTTGTTGTTGTTCTGTTTATTACAGGAATTATAGAAACTCATACTTTGCGAAAGTAGGGGGATTAGAGACAGAAGATTTGAACAAGTTGGAATTAGAGTTCTTGTTCTTGATGGGATTTAAGTTGCATGTGAATGTGAGTGTGTTCGAGAGTTACTGTTGTCATCTTGAGAGAGAAGTAAGTATCGGAGGAGGTTATCAGATCGAGAAGGCATTACGTTGCGCTGAGGAAATCAAATCCAGACAAATTGTTCAAGATCCTAAACACCATCAATTTTCCCGAATCTTGTTGTAGTCAAGAACAACTCTGTTTGTTTCTTTTTTTTGTCGTTTTGCTTTTGAAGGTCTTTGACTTTCTGATTACCTTGTCGGTTGGGTTTTCTTCAAATGTAAATGTAAATAGAGAGAAAATATAGAGACTGCTGTTGTATGTATTTATGTATCAGCAATTTAGTAGATTCTATGCATCTATTGAATTTTTCTTGAAATTGTTTTCATTTGCAAAAATCTTTGTTAATCTGATCTTTTGTCATCTACTAGACTACTACTTTCTTAGACATGTGAACTATTAACATTGGTTTGGACACTCAAATCCATTAAGATTTTATGCCCGTGATTGTGAAACCTCAGAATATACTTGTGATCATGCATTACATTTTTTAAGATTGTTGGTAATCTTAGGTTCATGTTCAACTCGTAATCAAACAAAATGTTGTGTTTTTGTTTTTGGCTATAATGTGACGTATTTAATTTTTTTAACTAGCAAACGCAGATATTTACATTTTCTACCTTGGAATTATGTTCGTGTGAGAAACAAGAGAGACTATTACAGCACATTAATGGGAATACCGATTGTCTTTATTTTGGAGAAAATAAAACAGTTCATGGATTGTCTTTATTTAGGAAAATAATAGTTCAAAAGATTTTTTTTTTACAATAAGAATATTTTAAAGGATTTTACAGCTTTATACACAGTGAGAGTATGTAAATACATTAATTCTACATAAGAACCTCTAAATGTACATAAACAAAAAAAAGTTTATGACAAAAGTGACTAAAAGATATTGAACTCATGTCTTTTGCCACATAATCTCGTTGAAATTTACAAGCTATATATGAATATGTTGCACAGTAACTAGGGGAAAACACAAAACAATTTCCATAGATACTGTTATTATTTTTCATGTTAAATTTATAGTTCTGTTTAAAATTTTTTTTTTCCCATTCATTCAAAGATAGTGGAATTAAGTACCTGCCGAAAACCAAAAGTCAAAAGAAAAACACACCAATACATAAGCTTTAATGTCTATAATACAAATGGATATTAATGACATTAAAAGCATTTAGCATAACCTCAACCAAGATATATTTTTCTGAGGTGAAAAGCAAGGTCCTGACTCCTTCCATATCCTAGTGTATTTGTTAATCAATAACCCATACATGGATGTTGTTTTCTTTAGTCGTATTTTATAGTTACGTTGCATCTGCGTTGCAGATCATAATTTTCTACAAAAATCCAAACCTGCCAAAAGCTAAATAGCAGTTTTTGGATTTTCGGATGATTCATTTTGCACAAACTTCAAGTTTTCGTCTACTCTTGTAAATGATTTCATCGAATTCGATGGAATCCATTATCTTAACATTGAATATTGATGGCAGCTTACTCTTTTGGACTTTTGGTTTAGCATGAGAAAAAGATAAGCTCTTAAAAAAATTGAAAGACCATAGTGCGAAAATCTCAAGAATATTATACATAAACAAACCAAAAAAGCTAATTATAAACCTTCTGAAGTTTATCTTGTTGTTGGACCATTTTGCGATTATAAAATGAACAGTGTTAGTTAGAAAAGGTTATTTTGAGTGGCTATATGATTCTTGTCTACCTAAATATGAAAAGTCGTCGTTAGTTCGAATTATGATCACAGCCAGAAAATGGAACAAAAAAAAAAATTAAAAACAAAACTCCATTAAATAAGAGAAGCGCCGGAAGAAATCTGACGGTCTATTTACTTAGTATAAACAATGAATCGATAAAATATTAACCGCAGAAAAACCTCAAAACGTTGTTTCTCAAGTTTTTTTTTTTAAAGAGCAAGATAAAAAAAAAACTCAAAAATGCATCTTTTCTAAGGGTTTCATATAAATCGTTCGAAAGTCTTTCTAAATGTTTCATGAACAACTTTGTGGTAGTCGTGAATTTATATAAGAAAGTAACAAAAAAAAAACTGAAACATAAAATACAAATTTATAATTCATACCTCACAGAATCAATTACTCCGTTAGGTAAACCCAAAAAAATATCAAATATGAATTTTTTCTTTAAGTATTAATATTGAAATTCTTGAAATCTATTATTGTTCATATATAAACAAATCATGAGAATATTAAACATGAATTGTATCCACATTAATCATTTTGGATACATATTGAAAAGAAAGATAAAGTAGGATTGGATTGCTGATTTGGTGTTCAATAATTGATTAATCGGTGGCATATAATTAGACATACATTGCCAATTGTTTTTCTTTTGATGAATATGCATCAACCATTTAAAATAAAATTAAAATGAGTTCAAAGTTGATCATTTGATGTTTTGTATGAGCATATATGGTAAAACGGTATTCCATTTTTCAATCGAACAAAAATACTTATCCGAATGTTTTTTTCAGCAACAGGCATACATAATAAGAATATATTTTGGTGTTGTATTGAAAAAATATCATACAAAAAAATAGTGTAGTGTGGTTCACGAGCATTTACCTAATTAAAGACACCAATCATTTGATCTAATCCTTTGAACTAGATTATTGCAAATAACATTAGGATCGGTATGTTGATCTGATTTCTAATAATTGCCTCACAAGAAGAACAGAGATTTATATTGTAAAATACCATGACTTATTTTTTCTTTGTTGTACTTTAAAAATCAAGATAACAGCTACGAGAATATTATTTTGTGTGTCCAGAGGAAAAATAGTTTATGGGCTTCATAGTCCGGTTACTCTAAACGAGCCGGTCCGATGATATCTTTCGTCTACTCTAAAAGTATTATCAATGGCCGGATGTGCATCATCAAAATCTAATAAATTATGTTATATTCTTAACACTATTTTCTTGTTATATACAGAATTGCATTTTGCAATTCATTTTGACGATTAATTCATGGGATCTGACGCTTTTTAAGATAAAAAAATAATTGGTCGATTTCATTAAATCGTCATAACAAACCTAATTCACGCCAAGTTTTACGTTCAACAGCCTGCGATTATTTTCAAACCCGTCCTCGCATTAGGTTATTAAATTTTCTACAAATCTATGCGTTGAAATCATTTTCAACCGTGACCGTGAGATTGAGATTCAACGGCCAAACAAACCACCATTAACGGCTACATGAACGTTCAGATTTCGCCATCAATCACCGTATACGATCGTATGAAGATCCAATATAACTCCAAATCACCTTGATTTAAGGGAAAATAAGAATTAATTAGGCAATACGAGTATACGACAAAGTATTATTCTATTTTTCGACCACATGAAACTGTGGGCCTAACCGTTTAACCGTCACGTAGGGCTTACTTCGAAGGAAAAACTAAAAAAGGACTTCACGTGTCTATTTCGCGATGGCTCAAAACAGAGCGACACGTGGCTCAAATTAGTTGGGCGTTTGGTGCCATGGCTATTTCCGGTCAAGATAGTCAGCTTCGCGATGCCGGAGATTTGCAGATTCTTTATAGAAAGTATATACATATGTCACATTAATAGAATATTTTCATAGACTAAGGTTTTGTTTTATTTTTAAAATAATTATTTCTTTGATTTGTTTTGTAGAGTGCAACTATGTTGGCCAAACGATGACGTATCAAGTGGAGGAAGTTTCAAATGCTAACGGCTTCGCGCGGCTTTGGTTGAGTATGAAGACTGAGACGGTGAAACCGGCCGAGTCGTCGAGCTCAAACGGTAGATATTCTGACACGTGGCTTCCCATGAGCCAATTATGAGGTGTCATCGTGTTGAAGCTCGATGTGACGTCACCATTTCGGGCCCCACTGTCTCTCCGAGTGACTTCTCTCGACTCCGGCCAGACCGTTGTGGCTTCCGATGTTAATCCGGCCGGTTGGCTTCCTGGTGCGAAGTACAAATCGAACGTAAATTTTCAAGTGTATAGCTATAACTTAATTAAGTCACTCACGAGTCACGAGTCACGAGTCGAGGAAAAGTTTATATATCTACATTAGTTGTTCGCTAACTTGCCCGTGGTATTGGGGCTTGTAGTTAATTAGGCTGGTGTTTAACCAATTTGTAAGCCCGTACGGTGACTAAATATGTGTTTTTTTTCTTCTCTTTAATGTCCAGCTATTTATTGTTGGTTATGATTTCATATGGTGAATTGGTAAATATTGTTCTTAGCAAAAGAAAGAATTGGTGATATTGACAACCATTGACCAAAATAAATCGAAAAACGGTAATTCATTAGCTTACAAATTTTGTAATTTCGGCTAACTTTCTAGACTAAATGTAATTGGTATTTTCTTTTTAACATGCTTAAATGTAATTGGTGTTTTTTTTTTTTATTGTTATGCTTAAAATCCTTGCTCTTGCCATCTTGGCAAAGTTTTAATTCCATATGTAGTCAACTTCAAAAATTACTTTCCAATTTTCAGTTTTGGAAAATCATATAGAGTAGTCAAAACTTATAATTTCCCTTATTATATAAAGAAGTTATAGACTTACATATTTCAAGGGGTTCTTTTGGGTCAACTATCAATACTTTCTTAATGCATTTCCTGTTATTAATTGATGTTACTTTTTTACGTTCTTCATTTTAAATTAGTTTTCCTTTTATAGCGTTGGCATACACATATACAATTTCCAAAAAACCACTGAGTGTATTCGTGAGAAGTTTTCCAAAAAAAAAAAACCATTATAAATACGCACATCACTTAATGAATCGAATTCACTTATAGCTTCAAATATTAAAGAAATTTGTTATAAGCAAACAAATTGTAGATCATCAATGGCAACATCATCGTCACATAGATGTCTTGCTCTCTTTGCTCTTTTTGCAGTCTCTCTAAAGTTTTGTTATTGTCAAAACGAAACTATAGATGCCGCAGGCTGGGGCAACGCCGGTGTTACTTGGTACGGTGAAGCTGAGGGCGCCGGTAGCACAGGTACGTAATTACGTATACCACTTGACGCATATATATAATTTGTTCTTCGAGTATATATCTCGATTTAGATAATATTTATGTATATCGATACTTATATATAGGAGGAGCTTGTGGATATGGTGCAGCAGTGGCCAATCCACCGTTTTACGCGATGGTTTCAGCCGGAGGCCCTTCACTATTCAACAATGGTAATGGATGTGGAACATGTTATCAGGTACATTATATATTAGCATTAGATATTTAGATCCATGTATTTACATAAATGTTTTCATTAAAGTGACATATTTCTTTGTTTGTATTAACACAAACTGGTATTTTAATCAATGTTTCAAAAATAAAAATAAGGTATTAATTAATTTTGGGTCATGGTCGGACTAGACGTGGTTGGAAAAGACTAATATAAACATAGCATGCATGCAAATCTGAATGATATATCTCACACGGTTACAAATTTATTAATTTTATCAACCATATTATAAATATAAATATCTGTTTAGATTATGTGCACCGAGAATCCAGCGTGTTCAGGGAGACCAATAACGGTGACGATAGCGGACGAGTGCCCCGGTGGTCCTTGCGCCTCCGAGCCAGTCCACTTCGACCTTAGCGGCAAAGCCATTGGTGCCTTAGCCAAACCTGGTCAAGCCTCTCGACTTCGAGACGCTGGTGTTCTCCGTGTTGGTTACAGACGGTACGTATATAAAAACGTTATTCTCCTAAAAAAATTATGATGTTTCTCGTACATTTCTAAATTCTAATCCATTTGATCAGTGGATTGGACATAAACTAGAATCCGTATGTTTCCCTTCTGGTTCTTATTTATAAAATTCATCATATTTTCACGATTCTATATTTTTGAAAGATAATTATGTTAAACGAAAATGTATCATTGAACTATTATATTATTTCACTATATTATATCATTGAAATTCCTGTTAAAGCTTAAACTATAGTTTTTATTTGTTTTGTTTTGTATTTCCAGTGCTCCGTGTTTATATAAAGGGACTAGTATAGCATTCCGTATTGATGCTGGAGCAAATCCGTTCTACATTGCATTTGTTGTGGAATACGAAAACGGTGACGGAGATTTGGCCTCCGTTGAGATTCAACCGGCCGGAGGAGGATTTATCTCCATGCAAGAAATGAGATCAGCCGTATGGAAGGTAAACTCCGGCAGTGCTCTGAGAGGTCCGTTCAGCGTTAGACTTACATCTCGCGAGTCTCGTAAAGTAATCACCGCTCAAGCCGTTATTCCAGCTAATTGGAGGGCCGACCAGACTTACCGATCAGTGGTTAACTTTTAGAGTAAAATAGATTTCGTTTTGGTCAGGTTGTAGTTCGACTCATTTCGTCGTCCGCTCTTGTCAAAATATAGAGAATGTTTTTAATATGAAATAAAGGGTCTTAACAAAAAAAGAAAAAGATGTTGACTTATCAATATGAACCTATATATTCATTCCGTATTACTTTCTAAAGCTTACTCCTGATGATTTACAATATAAAAATTATAATGAATTATTGATAAATAGTGTTGTTATATTGTTCTATTAAAACTGATGACAACAAGCAAAATGCTACGCAACAGTTAATACAATGATTATGTCCGTCTCTTCTCTACACAAAATACAAGCAAAAGTTCATATACAAGAGTTCATATACTTAATTAAGTTGACTGCTAATGAATCATAAAACAATCTGACATAAAATTCTTGATCGTCTTAGGCGTAACTCTTGATATTATAATATTAAAGTTTGTGTCCCAACTTCTTTTTTCAATTCAAGATTCTATTACGTATTTTTTTAAACAAACAATGCATTGTCTAGAGAAGACACAGACAATGTTTTATGAATATTTTATAAAACAAACAATGTATTCCTCCCAATTATTCCACACCTGTTAACAAAGATTGATGCATCCTATTTTTACTTACCGTCAGTTTTGAAAGCAATATAAGATAAAATCTGAGAGAGAGAGAGCTTACATGGCTGGCTAGGTCAGGGTCTCTGTTCTTCTTTCCGCTTAGAATCTACCGAACCAATACCCCAAAGCTGGAAACATCTGATTTCGTCGAGATGACTCCACACTTGGCATATGGACATATATTCGCTGCAAAATGAAAATAAAACTCAACATGAGCTGCAATATTTTTTTATACTCAGGTCAACGAGAAATACTTGAAAATGTGATAGTTTGCTTATAGAGTTCCGGCCAATTTATTTGTGCATAGCCTCTGTCTCATCTCTCACAAAGATCATAGTCATCTGAAAATCTGAGATTTTCGGAGTCATATCTTTATCAAGTAAAGCATTGTTTACTTTCAGATTCATGTGGATGATCTTGAACAATTTAGGTGAAAGTGCAGAATTCCATGAGCAATGCCACTGATAATGTCAATCTCGTCTGCCAATTCAGTTTACAGATTTGTTTTGGTCTGCGAGACATTCACAAGGGTTTTCTGACAATCCATTCTAAAAGAAATATATAACTAATTAATATCACTATTTTTTTTTCTTTGTTATATCATTAGCAATTTCAATGTCCAACTATAATGTTTTGACTGCGCATGTTTAACAATTCTTAGAGATAATTATCTTTTGGGTTGCTACAAATTGAATTGAGTTTTTTTTTCCTTATTTTTTTCTTATGTTTTGTTTATTTTTGGCTTATGTTTGCTTTTATTTTTGCTTATTTTCATATTTCTTACAATGCTTTTTTGTTTTTGTTTTTGACATATGTTTTTTATGTAAACATAAATTATAAGAGTTATATTAAGCAAATTATAATGTTATATTCTCCTGAACTAATCCAAATCTGCGATATAGACATCTCCATAATACAGTGATAAGACAACTAGTTAAGGCAATTTCATTTTTTTTGTTTATTTTTTATACCATCTCCTAGATGCTCGTGTCAATGATGGTGAATTACTCTCTATCTACTTTTTTTCACATAGATATTCCACGAAACATCTATATATATATATATACTTATTAATTATCAATACTAAATCTTAAACTAGAATAATAATAATTGGCTCAGAATGCGTCCAATAACTTTTGATTCTTTAAGAATACCACCATTATCAATACTAAATATTAAATTAGTCATAATACTGAACCAATTAAATGGCTGAAGAAATACATCATCAATTAAGGGTGAGCGCAGAGCGTATATCTTGGATTTTGGATATCTGTGATCCGCTCTGCTCCGTTCGGATCCGTATTCACTCCGTAATTATTTGGATATCCATTTCCTGCTCCGCACTCACCCCTTATCTCCCTCTTCTAGAACCAAGCCCTTACCGGAGATTTTTAAACATTCGGACGACGAATTTAGAGGCAGATCTCTGTTTGCCACCCAAACATAAGTCTTTGGCAGCATCTCAACAATGTGTCTGTGAAGCACAGAGTTGGAAGAAACAGATTAAACAAGAACAAAAACGAGATTGTGAAATTCAAAACTTTCATTTTCTTAAAAAAAAAAAAGGATCAAATGATCAAGTTTTGAAAGAATTTTCCTAACGTTGCTCTGTTAGCTGCTCTGTTTCAAAGAGATGAGGATTTTCAAATATTTGTCTCAGACTTATTTTATTTTTATTTTTTTCAAGGGCTTTTAATAGAGTCTCAGACTTATTCATTATTTTTCGGGTGATAGACAAAGACAACTAGTTAAATGTTTCTTTTTTTTACTTTTTAAACCATCTACTACTAGATGCTCCAATTACTCTTTTTCTACTCTTTATGTTCTATAAGGTTCTCTATTTGTGGATTTTCTACTAAATGCTCGTGTCTTCTGTGTTCTTTTCTCTGACCGGTTTTTGATTCTAATTGAAAACCGGTACATAGATATTCTTACATACCTTTGAGGAATGAATTTGTTTTAATACAAAAAGTGAATATGAATCTATTATATAATGAGAGAGTTTTCTCTCCATCTAGACTATCTACATTAGCAAACTTATAAACTTTAACATTTAAGTATATTTAAAGTATGCATTTAATACATATATTAATGTTTGTTATTAATATATTTAGTATAAATAAAATAAAATAAAAAAAATTATAGTATAAATAAAAAATAAGTGATAATTAGATATTAATAATTAAAAACATTGTAATACTAATTGGATTAAAAATATATTTTTTTTAAAAAAAATGATCAATTATTAAATGTAAAAAATGTTTAAAAAACGACGATAACTAAAAAAGGCAAAAATAATGAAAAATAATAAAAAAATAAAAGGAAGAAGAAAAATCAAAATACAAAAACAGAAGATGTTAAAAAGATAAAAAATAATAGAAATTAAAGACCATGAAGAGGAAAATGGAAAAAAAAAAAAAAAAAAAAAAACACAAAACTGATGAAAAGGAATTTTGAAAAATATGAAAACAAAGAAAGAAAACAGAAGTTAAAGATATCAAAACATGAAAATATAAAGATGGAAAAAAAAGAAAAAAAATTAACAAAAATGATAAATATAATGTTTAAATTTCGAAAATTTGTAAAAATAAATGATTAAAAATTATAACTGCGCAACGTGTAGAGCATAAACAAAAAAAAAAAATTTTAATACTGTAATAAAAATTACACATTAGTGACAGACAAAATATAAAAGTACATGAAATAAAAAAATTTAACAAAAATTAATAACATAATTAAGAAAATTTATTATTATATAAAAACACTAATAAAGATTATACAATAAAAATATAGAAAACAACTATTAAAGTATAAAAAAATTATCAAACAAAATATTTTTTAAGAAAAAGCATATAAAAATATAAAAAACACACAAAAATATAAAATAAAATCCGCGCCAAACACGGACTCAACTCTACTCTAGTATTCTTATTCTTAAATTAGAGATATAATATTGAACCAATTAAATGGCAGTAGAAATACATCATCCATTTGTTTTAATACAAAATGTGGATGTGAATACAACACAAGAAAAAAAAAACAAAATGGAGATGAAAATTGCCAAATATTGGGCTTGTGATCAATTTAGTGGCAATAGAGTTTAATAATTGAGTCAGCGCCTGCAGTGAACAGCCATGGTTGCCTCGGATGAAACTTGCAATCCAAGACTCCTGCCATCAATAAAAATATTAAACGCACAACATAAGTAACCAAAAACATTTTAATGGTGGTATTCCTAAAGAATCATAAAAACTAACCTCCTCCGTTTGAAGAAGAATGGCCTCTTAGAATCTCCAACGGCACAATCAGAGGATTCTCGTTCAGATCATTAAACACCTTCCCATGGAACACATAAGCTGTTGAATCCTCCGAGGACGAAGCAAACAAAGGATACGAACGGTGATATGCCACATTCGTGATGTCTTTAGGATGATTCTTCAGAGTCTTGTACGGTTTCGAAGACAGATCCATGTCAAACCAACACATCTTCCCTTCTTTGCTTCCTACTATCAGATTATCACCACCAGGATGAATCGCCATTGATGAGATTTCTCTCATTCCAGTCTCAAGCTTTTTGACAGGCTCATCTACCGTTAACAGATTGTAAACACGCACGTTCTTCTTTGTCGCGATGAACAAGTATGAACGGCTGGGATGAAACACTGCAGAGACTGGAAGTCCGCGGATCTTGTATGGCTTTGTTGTAACCTTTTTTGAGATTTGATGAATTACAACACCTCGCGTTTCGCCGGATGCCATGACTGTCGAGAGGTAGTCTCCCTTACGATGCCAGTCAATATTCGATATGTTCTGGAAATAAAAGATATATACATAACCCAAACCAGTTGATATTTTTATTTTTTTTCAATGTGATAGATGTTACAGAGGATAAGTGTACCTTAAAATGTCTTATCTTGATCCCTCCATATAGCTCATCTGGAAGCCAGCTTACAATTGCTGCAACTATTAAAATATACAAAACAGATTTAATCATTCGGATTTCCATCTCGATTTCTTACAAAGTGCTTGTGGCTATCATGAGACACTTACCAGCTGCTTTTGGTTCTGGAAGATCTCCTAATTGAAGCAGATCTTTAATATTTTTCTGTTCCTCATCAGTGCCAAGTTCAGTGTTCAGGATGACCAAATCTCGTCCCCTGTAAAAGTGACATGTGATGGTTTCAGAATAGGAAGTTCTAAGATATTAGAAAGCAAACTCCAAAGATCCTAACTTACATGGCAACGGCTAAAATTGGAAAGTCGGAAAGTGGATTCCAAGCCACACACTTAACAGCTTCATCAAACTGCCAGATCTTAAGACATCTACCAGTTTCCACTTCCCATAGACGAACAGACCCATCAGTTGAACCTTTGAAAAAAAAGAAAGAAAAAAAGATACAAAATTGGCGTCTTGGATGATAGAAAAAGAGAGCTCAAAAAGTTTGAATAGAACCAGTAGATGAAATACCTGAGGCTATCCACTGGCCAGAACATTCAGTGGATATGGAAGTAACAGCTCCTGTATGGCCTTTATATTCAAGATAACAGGAGTTTGGGTAAGGTCTGAGATCCTTCCTACTAGGTAGCTTAGGTTTCAACGATTCAGGATCGATGTTTATCTGGAGAAAGGAAACACACTGTGAGATTAAATACAGAAAACAAAATAAACCAGAAAATGGAGATGATCAAATTAGTCCTCACTCTCTTCTTTCGAACTCTTGGACATAGGTATAGATCCAAACAACGGTTAAAGGACTCTTTTAGTGCATTCGGATATGCTGGGATGCTTCTCAGGGATGCAAACCTATGCACAAATACATTTACCATAACGCTTAAGCTAACAAACGCCAAAGAAAACTATATCAGAGTATATTAAGCGATACTTTTACATACCTTGTAGGAATGAAATTTGGACGATCTTCCTCATACATCAATTCATAAGAGGCTTTCTCTTCCTCTGTTGGAATGTATTCCAAAGAAGGATTGTATGATTCTTCGTGTCCTGGGAAGCCAAATTGTACAGATTAAAGACCCTCAAAAATGCAATTCCCGTACAGAAGCAGATAAACAGATTGGTCAGCAAAAAGTCTGCACCTGGCAATTTCAGTTTCGGTGGAGGAATATAAGTTAAGTGCTTGCTCTTTTGATCTGAAGTTGAATCATCACCCCATAAAAGGTATACATTGGGCTCTTCTTCAGGCTTATCAAACTTGATCAACCCCTTCCGGATTGCTCTAACATACTTGACAACCTTTTTAGCCTCCCATTTTGAAGGGATGAACCTTCGCTTGGGTTCTGGTGCACTTGAGAGTGGATGTATTGCATCATCCCATTTAAACCAATCGACATAAGGCTGGCACCAAGAGAATCAATCGAAAGGTCACATTTTAAAGTGATCGGTATAATATTAGTAGAAAACGGCTACACAGAAACCACAAACGTACCGTATACGGATCAAAGTCAGCATGTGGGGCTTCCCCTTTGAGCATCCTACGAATGAGCTTGCTCTCCTCTTTAGTGAGCTCCACTTCCTCGTCATTATATTCATCATATATTTTGCGCCTAAAGCCCCATGAATTGCATCAGCATATTGACACCAACTAAGTAACACACCAATAAACATAAAAGTCTTGAGACTGACCAATTTTTGGAGTCATCCATAGTTGCAAGAAAAGAGTCGAGTTTGTCTTGTTTTTCTTTCTTGGTAATCTTCTTCCCAGTGATGTCATAACCAATATGTTTCTCATCCTTATACCACTCCAGGGGAACATCCCCAACTGTATTCCTTGGAGCAACCTACAGAATCAAGACAAAAATATGTATAATTTCGTTTGGAAATGGGGAAAGATAGTTTCAATTCCAAAACGAATAGATAAATCACTGACCTCATCTTCTGAGGAATCGCTCTCTTCGGCGACTTCATCTTGCTCAGAACCTTCATCACCACTCCCATCTTCCTCACCATTTTCACTATCTACTTGTTCACCTTCATCATCATTATCATCCGAGCCCTCAATACCTGCACCAACAGATCCCGGCAAAGTTACTCTCTCTTAGTTGAAATTTTCTTTCACATATTAAAGCTAGAAGTCCCTGTTCCCACATAATTGCTCACTATAAACTCCAAGGAGTAGCTGCGATCAAACTAATAATAAACCTAAAGAGATTAGCCTATTCAATTTTTTTATTATTAATTAAGGTTTTAATACTATCATATTGAAGATGAGCTAAACTAGAGGAAAAGCACAAGCAAGCAATTACCATGGACCTCGTCTTTAGATGATTCTCTGTCTCCGTCTTCTGTCTCTCTCTGTGAACCATCATCCTCGGAATCAAAAATATCGGAGTCGAAATCATCGGAATTCAAAGACCCGGACAAACTCTACACAACACAGAACCCATAAAAGAAAAACAAATAAACCAAATGCATAATAAACAATCAAAAAAATGTCTACGAGCTATGAAACAAAAGAGAAGGCGTTAAGGGGAGGAGAATACATCTCCGTCGTAATCGGAATCAGTTCCCGAATCTAATAGCAAGTCTTCCTCTTTCAAGCTCTTCACTTCCTTTTCCACTGGTTTCACTTCCTTTACTACTGCTTTTTGTTTCTGCGATTTTACAGAGACGCTCACGTTCTTGCTCTTGCTCTTTGTTTCTCTCATTTGATCTTTGTTAGCTGTTTCCCTCTTCTTCATCGATATTGCTATCAGAGCTAAGTTTTGGACTGGGAAAAATCTCGGCGGAAGAAGGCGAAAAAAGATTTAGGGTTTTAGGCGAAAGTCGTAAAGCTCCCCAACTCTAATGGACCTAGATATATTAATGGGCTTTTTCTGCGAATTTATGAGAAAATATGGCGCGAGGAAGAAGAGCGAATTCTTTTTTTTTTAATAATATAAATTCCTATTGTCAAACCAATTACAATTTCATGACGTTTTTTGTTTTTTTAAAAAAAAATTCATTACATCAATTAGTTTATATACTGTATATAAAAACTCTTATTATCTTTACTTTTCTTATAAAATAATCCATTTTTAATATAGTTATGACATATAATCATCCGACAAAGTCTAAGATTAACATCAGTTTTTACACGTAAAAAAAATAATAATATATATATATATAGTTAATGCTACCAAAACGGAGGAATTGTGCATATTTACAAGCTTTACTATTTAATTATTATATTATTATGTGAAAAATATGTCTAACCAGCTTTACTGAACACTCCTGGTCTCTTGAGTTGAAATTGTTTATTTAGCAATCCTGAGTTGTTTTTTTTTTTAATAGTTGACCATGAGCTAATAATATACCTTACGGCGAGTTGGAGAGCCGCCACTGGTAACTTCTAAAGTTAACTTTTTTCTTTCGATTGAAATTGGCTCGTTTCTTCACTCTATCAGCTATTTGAAAAAGATAATATATTGAATACTGAATAACAAAATACTTTGTCTTATCAATATGAGTTCAATTGTCCTATATTATGTTTTCTGTAAATTTTACGCCTCGTGTCAGTTGACTTCATCCAGAGTATTGCTTTACTTCAATTCATACATCAGCCAATTTGATTAATCCATGTACTCAAAAATGCCATCACCAAGAGTCCAATTTGTACATGCTGATTGCTGACAATAAGAAGCACACACACACACATTACACATATATTTAGTTATAAATAAATTATACTATATGTAAGCATATATATATGCTTTATTTATAACTAAATATAGATTCGTTATCAAAAAAAAAAAAAAATATATATATATGAATTTGAAGGTCTAACGAGAGAAGTCAACGGGAAATTAAAAGGAGTTATGAGTTTTTTCCTTAAAGAGAGAGGGAGTGGCGTAAGTGGTTTGGCACCACCATTAAGTCATGCCATTGAAGAAGAATCGCAACTTTACACTTTGCGTAGACGAATTGCTTCCACAAAATTGATATTAAAAGATTTCCAAATTCCAGTGAAAAAGTCCTAATGTGTTAAATTACCTTGCTAAGTAAGTTCTTTGAGTGCGTTTTAATGTTTTTTTTATTTTGTAACCGACAAGTTGTGGAACGTTGAACTTTTAATTTGCTTATAAATTTAATTTGTGATCTATCATGCACACTAATTGTTGTTACAAGCAAGACTCTAATGCCTATTTGTACAAGTTTCTGCACTTATGGATCAATTGATCTTCGAACAATCAGTTCGATGAATTGAAAAAGATCACATGATCGTTGTGTTGGGGGTCGTTTGATCACGTTTAGTACAGTGTTACGAGAAAAAATAAAAGTGAGTTGGTTAGGTTTGTATTAAACTAAAGGGCATCGATTTCAGTGGGTCCAAAGTTAAATGCGTTTGTAGCCTAACAAATTATCCTTTTTGGTTACTCGTAATCAACTAAGCTCAAATCTATCGTCTAATCCAGTCTTTCTTCAATCTTCAAATTAAGTTTAAAAGTTACTCTAAACAGACGTTAGTTGGTATTTGTTTTTGTTGAACAAGAACGTGTGGCAGTGTTATTGATAAAACGAAAATTATGGACGCTTGACTTTTTCTCATTAATTATTTTTCTAACTTGGAAGATCCAAAAACAAGGGAGAAATCCTATCTTTTAACAATTTTTGCATTCCTAATCGTTTTAAGTAGGAGGTATCAGTGGAATTGAATTAAGGATTATACCAGATTAAGTAGGAGGTATTAGATGCCTACTGGCTTTAACTTGCTAAGAGATACTCGTCACTGACAGTTGGCGAAACTCGTTAAAAAGGAAAGGAGATGGCAAGCAGAATCCGAATTTTTATATTTATCAATTTTTGTTACATTAGAGAGATAAAGTTACTGGTGGGTGAGGATAAGTTGTGAAACCGTCGTTTTGAAATACTACGTGGCTGTCACAAACTGAAAAACTGACAGCCATAAAATGTTAACATTCTTCCCCTCAATTTTGGACAACGCTTTGTTCTGGTCCGACTCGTTACAACAAGAACAAAGAAAAAAAAAACTCTCATGTGGTGGAAATACCGACAATACCCTTAATGCAGGGTAACTTAATATTTTGGGACTTCTTACCTTTGCTGCTGAAAATAGACAACTAAGCCGCGTTGCGTCTGATAGTTCGGGGTGTTAAAATAGAAAATTTCCTATTTTTAATCCGATTGATGAGAAGGGTATTTTGGGAAGTTTAGAGAAGTTTTTTTTTTTTTTTTGCAGAAACGGGCAAAGCTCGCATGTTACATTGTCCTTTCTTCACCCTTTCATGGCAAAAGCTTTAATTAGATTATTCAGAATAACAAAAATTTACTCTTCCTTTTTTCCGTTTCAGATCGAATTAATTAAAGAAAATTTATAAATATAGGGTGAGAGAAGAAGGGCAAGTTAAGAAAAGAAATTAAATAAATAAGTTTAAAGCTTAATTTTTTGTTTTCTTCTTTCTCTTCGTCTTCTTCTTTAGTTCGTTGGTTGCAGAAGAAGAATGCTTTTGTCACCTACTCTCCTTTTATAGTTTCTCTACTTCTTCTTCTCTCTTCTTTGAGAGAGAGATAACCCCAAAAAGCTCTCTCTCTCTCTCTGTAATTTGGTGTTGAAAATGGAGAAATACAAGTGTAGATTTTGCTTCAAGAGCTTCCTCAATGGAAGAGCTTTAGGTGGTCACATGAGATCTCACATGCTTAGTCTTTCCGCCGAACGTGAGCTTCATGAATTAACTGGTGAAGAAGAAGGAGAAGAAGAGGAAAGGCCGAGTCAACTCAGTGACGACGTTACCGAGTCAGACGCATCTTCTTCGTCTGATGAGGAAGAAGAAGAACATGGAAATCTCGGTGAGTTTGATCATTCAAAAATTAAGCGTCTTCAGATGGTTGATGATGAAATAGAGTTTGAATTCGCCGACGTTGAAAGCGAAACCGAGTCATCGAAGATTAACCCAACTCGGAGACGGTCTAAGCGAACTCGGAAACTCGGATCGTTCGATTTCGACTTTAAGAAGCTGAAAACGAGCCAACCCGGTGAGTCAGTGACCGAGCCAGAGCATCACAGTTCAGCTTCTGACACAACGACGGAGGAAGATCTCGCCTTTTGTCTCATTATGCTCTCCAGAGACAAATGGAAGCAACAGAAGAAGAACAAGTCGACGATGACAAAGCAAAAAGCGGAAGAAGAAGAGGAGACGGATCATGAATGTGAAGATTACAAATCGAGCAAGAGCAGAGGAGGAAGAGGGAGATTCAAGTGCGAGACTTGTGGTAAAGTGTTTAAATCGTATCAAGCATTAGGAGGACACAGGGCAAGCCACAAGAAGAACAAGACTTGCACAACAATGACGTCGACGAAAACAGAGCAGGAGAAAACAGAGTACGAGGATGGAGTCACGGAGAAGAAAATCCACCAATGTCCGATCTGCTTTAGGGTATTCACATCAGGACAAGCACTTGGAGGTCATAAGAGATCTCACGGAAGCAGCAACATCGGATCAGGAAGAGGGTTGTCTGTGAATCAAATCGTTCGAATCGATAAAGAAGAAGAAGTGTTAGTGAAACAGAGGATGATAGATCTTAATCTTCCTGCACCCAACGAAGACGATGATTCAACCTCTGTAGTGTTCGACGAATGCTGAAAACGAAAGGTAACAGACTTTGCGTGATTCGGGTTGTCAAAATTTTTAAATCATTTCGGTTATTATTACTCTTTTTTTTTTTTGTTGATCGAATTCTAAATCAATTTTATATTTATTTTTTTGGTTATTTTTAAATGCAAAGGAGGCTACTTTTACATGTTCTAACGCCAAGTCTTTCACTACTATCCTCACGTCGTGTTGGCCTAAATCAGAGAGCATTGAATTTTCATTAGTGAATATAAGAATTGTGAAGTTTTTTTTTAATTAGCTTTTTCACTTTTTTTAGGTAATCGAATCATTCAATTCTTGGTTTCTCTGGTAAAATAGGTATTGCTCTACATTTTTAGAAGCTAGATAAGTAAGAGTGCCCACTTTATCGCTATCTCTTTCTCTTTCGCCTACTATTAGAAGAAGAGAGAAAAAAGTCAAGTCTAAAAGAAAAAAAAAAATCAACATTATTTTTGTTCTTAATTTCTATATCATTTTCACTGTATAATTTAATTTGGCCGCCCCTTTGGGTTTTGAGCTACCACCAACTTAGAATTATTCTTCACGTATCCTTTCTTCTTTACTTATGATTAGAATCAATTCCAATGACCAATGTTCATGATCACCAGCCAGTAGATATCAACGAAGTTGTGATTTTAAGTAGTTGTGATAGTTCAACCAGTCTTATTACAAAGTTTGGTGGCTACTCACTAGGATTTAGTGCTTACAGTTTAAATTTATTAATCCATATATATGTTTTGTTTGGTGGCTAATCACTTGGAATTACTGTTTACAAAGTAATGAGGTATCACTAATCCATGTTAAACAAAAAAGTTGTGATTCAAGGGTATGCTTGGAAACTTCTCATGATTCAACAAAAAAAATTAAAAAATCGTCAAGAAATCCAAAAAAATGATAGATAAAACTTGGTGCGAAGAACAGAATTAGTGTTATAATAGGCACTAAATCAAAAGGACGTTTGGCTCAGGGGAAAACTCAGCGGTAACTTATTTCGTGGAGCAAACCACCTTTTCATGTCTCTGGAACATACAATAAGGTTAAAAGCAACAGGAAGAAACAACCAAAGATGCAAATCAGTTAGATTACTAGGAAGACAACAAACAAAAACCTTAATATGAGTGTTAATTGAGCACCAAGTTGGGGATGGATTTTGGTGTTGTTCCTCTACGCCTAGGACACCAGAATATATGGACCCAATAAAGGCATGCGAGAATAACTAACTATTGGTTATGGACTAGAAGAAAAGAAAGAAGAAGGATGGAATGCAATGGAAACACCAGTTCTGTTGGAGTAGACATCACTCGAAACTCTAACGACACATTGAGGATTCGAACAGTGGTATTGGAGTGCAAAAGTGGGAGGTTGAAAATGAGAAACCATCACTTCAAGAGCTAACCTAGAGCTAAGCTCGAATTCGAATCCCATAGCCAGAGTGGACCTCTTGTGTTTGTGTTGGCGCTCTCTATACGGTAACCTGTTCTCGGTGAGAGACACAAATCTTGGGTGAATCCGATGCCGGGTTGAAACCACGATTTCATTAGCATGCCTGTCAACAGAAAAAGCAAATATATTCACTTTTGAAAATGCAGGATTATCATTATTATTATTATTATTATTCCAAAATCTAGTCAGTCCACTTACAGTTTCAGTTGCCCTGACAAGTTTCCTGCAATGATGGTGAGCCCAATATTCCACTTATAAAGCCTGCGTCTGTTGACATCAACAAGTCCCACGGAGGTGAGTTCGTAACCAGTTAGGCGGCTGTTGAAAAGTCTTAAAGTACCGGTTAAGTGGGCAATAGGGTTGGATTTGCAAACAACCCTTGCACCTACTTCACCATACTCTAGCTTATACAACATGCCAACCTGCACACAAACAAATGATGACGAGTAAGCTAACAAATATCCCAGTGGAAATCAACTCAGAGGAATAAAACAGCAAAATGCTCATTCACACAGCAAGAAAAGACAGGAAATTGAATGAAAGGATAGCAGAAATCCCATCACAAGCTTAAAAAACCAGAGCTTTTTTTTTTGTTGGTTTTTTTTGTTTGTACACAAAAGTCTACTACACGCACCTCCTTACTGGAGGAACCAGTAGATTTCGTTGAGTCGTATTCCTGAAGATAGAGTAATTCAAGCCCAGGAACGTATTTATCTTTGATCTTAGTCATCTCATCTCTATCAAAATAGCTCAAATCTGCAAAAACACAAAAAAAAAAGAAAAGATTCTCCTCTTACTAAATTCCGGCGATCACACAACACAAAATTTCAACAAAAAAAGAAAGAAGGTGGAAGACTTGCCTTGAAATGTCTCCATAATCTTATTGCCTGCAGATGAAAGGAAGGAAAACATCTTTTAGGAGGTCGACCAGCGATGAAATTGGGGATCTAGGGTTTCTTCAAGCCAAGGAAGACGTACGTAGAGGATCGCGCAAAAAGTGAACTAGAGTGCGCGAAAAGGTACAGGGCCGTTTCTATTTGGGCCGTCTTATATTTGCACACACATACACTAAAACTGGTATATATATATATATATCTCTTAAGATTAATTGGTACCAAATTTTTAATCTTTTACGATCCCCTCCACCTTGTTTGTTAGAAACCCTGGATCGGTCAGGCGCTGCTTCATATATAAGATCCTCTGCAGGCGATAAAATTATGGAGAGATCTCAAGGCAATTCCCCAAAATGTTTAACATTTATTCTTTTTCTCTTTTGTTGAATAGTAGTAATTAGAGAGATTTTGGATTCGATTTTTCTTTCAGATCGTCTCGACTCTGATAGGGATGGGATCAGTGAAACGGAGTCAAATTCGAGTGTTTCATGTCCATCACAGTGTGGAACCAGGAGTCGTGAAGGTCAGATCGAGTTGTATTCCATGCAATTATATGCTTCTTTTTAATAAACATTCGATCATATGTGCTTTTGATTGGATCTCTTCTCATACTGTTTTTCATGAATAACTTGAAACACGTGTGTCATTTGCTCCGATTTTCTAAATCGTGCGAGCCTGAGTATCTTGTTAAACAAAATCAACCAGGATTCGTATTATGTATTTCCTGACGTTTTAAGATTTGAAGTTTTCTTTCCTTTCATTAAATTGTGCCTATTCTGTCCAAAGACTTTTTGATTTATAAATCTGATTTTTGCAGTTATCAATGGTCGGTGCGATAGATGCTTATCAGACTCTTCTCCTGTAGTAGTCACCACACTCATGTGCTCTCACAAATTCTGTGGTTCGATCTATAATCATCTTCAATTAATTTCATGTTCAAATTGTGTTGATTTTATAATTGCCAAATCTAATTTGTTTTTTCGTCTTAGGGAAATGTTTCATATGCATCTGGTCATACCAGAAGCTTGGAGAACCTTGTATTTGTCCGATTGATGGAGAAAGGTTGATATGGTTACGTCCTGATAGTCCTTACGTGCCTCAGGATATTAATGCCCTCGTCCGCATTTATAATCGTTATTACAATCCAAAGACTTCCCCGGTAAACTCTCTTTTCTTTTTTTTTTTCTTTTGTCTTTCATAAGTTTATAGTTTATCTTGTTTTGAAGGATATGAAAATTGCATTCATATTTATTTTTTCTTACGGTCTCTGGTTACTAACATTTTTTTGTGTGTTTTTTTTTACCTGAAAAATTACTACATGGCTCAGGCAAGACTTGGTAATTTCTTATTCACTTTTTTTTTTTAATTGTGTTTTTTTTCATCTTCGTTGTAGCTAACTCTCTAAGTTTTTGTAGAGCGCAATTTGACATGGCTTTACTATTTGGATACTGCTATTGTTCTCGCTGGTGCAATCGCGTACTGCATCAAGCTTTCTTAGACTCATAGTGGTGGACGATAGTGGTTCCTCCTTATTTCAGGCTCTTAGTTTATCATGATAATGTGTTATCATGCTTTTCTGTTTTATGATTGTCTTTCGTTCTGACATTGTATCCATGCTTTTTTCTCCATGTAAGACGAACTATATATATATATATATTTCCCTTTGGTTCATACGAGTGAAATTACCTGAAATGACACAAAAAATACAATTATACTAAAACAATTCACCCAAAATCAGGTTTACTAAAACAACACAACTTTTAGCAAATTATGACCTTGAATTGATACGTTGACTTCAACTTTCTTATTTTGTTGATTTGAACCGATTATCTATCCATCTATCGGGTAAAACCGACGTTTACTAGCGATTTCTCTTGTCGTGCGTTTCAATCGTTTTAGCTGGTCAAACGTGTTGTTTGGTCATTAGGATCGAATGACAATTATACCCCTGTTAGACGTAGTCCTTAGAATGACAACTATACCCTTCGTTAAACGCTGTGGTAGTGACGCACCTTTGAGTCATATATCGTCTCCACTAAAAAACAGACGGCAAAAGTCTCTTCTCTCTCTCTCTCTCTCCTTTGATTCTCCGTTCTCGATCAACGACGACGACCACCACCGCTCGTTCGGTCTACCGGTGAACAAAATTCCTTTTTCGATTAGAATCGGTTAATTTTCCGCCGATCTTATCAGAATGAGTAACGAGCTCCTCGACATCGATCCTATCGACCTCCAATTCCCTTGTAAGCTTATACATCCGAATTTTAAATTATTGTCGCATGCCTCCCTTCTTCTAGATCTACCTTTTCCGGTTAGCTTAATTTGTGTTATTGGTTGTTGTAGTTGAATTGAAGAAGCAGATCTCTTGTTCTCTGTATTTGGCTAACAAGACCGACAATTATGTGGCCTTCAAGGTGAATTACTTGGAGAATTGTTTCGATTTTCTCTATATCTTGGAGTTTTTGTTTACAGATGCTCAATTTTTTTTAGGTTAAAACGACGAATCCAAAGAAGTATTGCGTCAGGCCTAATACTGGAGTTGTTCTTCCGAGATCATCTTCTGAAGTTCTAGGTTTGTCTCTTGCTCTTCCCTTCGTAATAGATCGTTTTCTCTGCTATTGCAAAATCGCCAGATGGAGAATTTACCAGTTTTTGGGGATTACGAGTTTGACTGATGCCGGTCTTTTTGTCTTGGAATTAGTGACCATGCAAGCGCAAAAGGAAGCTCCGGCTGATATGCAGTGCAAGGACAAGTTCTTGCTTCAATGTGTAGTGGCTAGTCCCGGAGCCACGGCCAGGGAAGTCACTCCTGAGATGGTATTGATACTGTTCTAACGGGATTTAAACATTGGATCTGATCATTTCTGAGTATTTTTGGCGAATTGGTTCTGGTTACTTAACACAGTGTTTTCTTATCTGATGAACACTGCAGTTTAGCAAGGAGGCGGGGCATCGTGTTGAGGAGACTAAATTGAGAGTTGTCTATGTTGATCCACCCCGACCACCATCACCGGTTCGTGAAGGATCGGAAGAGGGCTCTTCACCAAGAGCTTCCGTCTCGGACAATGGGAATGCTCCTGATTTTACTGCTGTAAGTAACAGTATAGACCTCAGCTTAATTAGCCAAGAAAGTAGAAACCTATAGGTAGAAGTGGGGGATATAGTAGGCGTTTCCTTTGGTGATTTTGTTGATTTTTCTTGTTTGATTTTATTAGGTTCCAAGATTTAGCGTTGACAGGCTTGAACCTCAGGATAACTCATCTGAGGTATTTCAATAACCCCTCTGATCTTTTATCTATTGTTTTCATGATGCTGCGTTACCTTTGCATCAGAAAGAGTGCAACTGCATTAGGATTATACCATTACACGACCTACATTGGTTTACCATTCAAACCTATGGATCTAAAAGGTCTTTCTGGAGCTGTTATTCCTTTTTTTGTGTAATTCAGATCATTCCAGTTATTTGCAATTCAATGGCTCGCTTATTGTACAAGCTTGTAATAGCTCTCAGCCTGCTGCTCCACGGGAATTTCTAGAACATATCAGGCTCTTTATTAAACGGTTTTATCTGCTGTTGTTTTATCGCATTACTAAGTAGTTTATGAATTGGTCTTAGCTGCAACTGACCTACCTGGCTATAGTGATTGGAACAAATTACCATGGAAATTGGGTGACAGGATTGGTCGTTCTGTTACATCTGAATTTTTTATGTCGGTTGTGTGATTTCAGGCCAGAGCTCTCATCACAAGGCTCACCGAGGAAAGAACTCTGCGGTTCAACTGAACAACAAACTTCAGCAAGAATTGGTAAGAAGCTTTTTTCATCTGATCCTTATATTTTTGAACTAATCCTCTCTGTAATTTTCGCAAGCCCTTTCTTAGCTAGTAGTTTACCTGATATCTGAGAAGCAGCCATTTTCTTGTTTTTTATTTTTTAACTAGTACCAAGATTTTAGCTCATCATTTGCGTTGGCCTTTAATTATGTTTGTTTTATTGGCTTCTCTACTTATTCCGTCATTTGAGATATTATGAGATCGATTGCTCCTAGGATATCTCCACTGGTAGAGAAGAAACGTGTACCAATTAAAAAAAACCGCAAACAAGTCTGTATATTGCATTGGCCTTTTCCAATGGCCAATCAAGTCCGTATATTCAACAATCTTCGATTACATGTTCCATTTTTGCCAAACACGAAACTCTCTAATATCAAAAACATGTGAACTTGCAGGAGCAGTTGAAGCGTGAAAGCAAGAGAAGTCAGAGTGGTGGTGGAATCCCGTTCATGTACGTTCTTCTGGTGGGACTTATCGGTCTAATCTTGGGATACATTATGAAGAGGACATGATCGCGTTGAATAAATATTCCTCAACCCACAACAAGTCTCAAAAGTGGCTTCGGCAAAACTCAAAAGACATGAAAAGAAAAAAGTTGTGTCAGAAGGACATCTTTTAGTCTGTCTTATCGTCGTCACTCACCGTTTGTTGAATCTTGAAGTTGGTGCGTTAGAGGATTGTATTACGTTTTTCGTAAGACTTAGAATTTTCACCCTCCAAAAAAAAACCTTTTTTTTTACTTTTGAACTTCTGTAATCCGAAAGACATTTGTTTCATTGTGTGTTCCCCCTCCACTAAACTCGTCTTTGCTTTCTTTAGTTATAGAAATAAACATTTTCATCGAATAAAAAAATGGGAGAGCTGATTTGGAGGGGTACTAACCCAACCGCTAATTTTACCTCGTACTTCGTCCGAGTTACTACAATACAAAACTCGCCGACAAATTCAGCTATTCACACACACACACACACACTCCGACATGATGATTCAGAGATTGCGAATTTCAGAAAGAATATATTTCCTTTTTGCCCTTGTTCGGGCTAATTTTCGTGTGTCTTAGAGAAAGCAAGCAATGGCGTCTTTTGTTGATGTCTGTAGGTATAATAAGCCTGTGCCCGTTTCATCATCGACTTGTCTCCCCTATGTATGCCCGTGCCGTATATCCACCAGGAAAACCCTAATTCTCCCCCCTTTCTCCCAATATTCGAGCCTACGTTTTGCCGGTGATACCACACCATTATTTCGTTCCCGCCTTGGCCGGATTCCTCTGAAACGGCGATTCCTCACGGCCGTTGCTCGAGCTGAAACAGACCAGCTTGGTGATGACAACTCAAAGGTAGTAACTTTATGCTTCTTTCTTTCTCCTCGAATCTTTCAGCTTTAGAAGAAGCAAGTCGGCATTGAATGAGAGAGATAAAGAGAGAGTCAATTTTCAGCTTAATTAAGAAATGGCTTCGTGGTGTTTAGGGATGGGAATTTCTTATTGATCATTGTCTAATTCAGTGAGCCCTCGCTGATTAGCCAATCTCTTTTTAGGGAGTTGATGGAAGAATCCATGACTTGCAAAATGTGGAAGATAAGCAGAAGAAAGCAAGCCAGCTTAAGAAAAGAGTGATCTTTGGTATTGGCATTGGCTTACCTGTTGGAGGTGTTGTGTTAGCTGGAGGATGGGTTTTCACAGTAGCCTTAGCAGCTTCTGTTTTTATCGGTTCTCGTGAATATTTCGAGCTCGTTAGAAGTAGAGGCATAGCTAAAGGAATGACACCTCCTCCACGATATGTATCTCGAGTTTGCTCGGTTATATGCTCCCTTATGCCCATCCTTACATTGTAAGTTCCGTTAAAACACAATCTCAGAGCTTTTTTGTTGTTATCCATTTTTTGACTCCTCTCCCTAAACAGATTTTACAATCGAAATTCTCTCTTAGGTACTTTGGTAACATTGATATATCGGTGACGTGCGCAGCATTTGTGGTCGCAATGGCATTGTTAGTACAGAGAGGAAACCCACGTTTTTCTCAGCTGAGTAGTACAATGTTTGGGTTGTTTTACTGTGGTTATCTCCCTTGTTTCTGGGTTAAGCTTCGTTGTGGTTTATCTGCTCCTGCGCTCAACACTGGCAAGCTCTCGCCTTTTCTCCTCCATTATATTTCAAACAATAGCTGTTGGCTTTCTCTTCCTTTATATGTCCTTTTGACCAGTTTTTTTCTACTTTCTAATTATAGGAATTGGAAGAACATGGCCAGTTCTTCTTGGTGGTCAAGCTCACTGGACTGTTGGACTTGTGGCAACATTGATTTCATTCAGCGGTGTGATTGCGACAGACACATTTGCTTTTCTCGGCGGCAAGGTAAACGCCTTAACGGATAAGCTTTTTTTTTTTTTCCTTAGCTAAAACCGTTTTGAAGTTGAATTAACAATAGAAAAAGTGCAGGCTTTTGGTAGGACACCTCTTACTAGTATTAGTCCCAAAAAGACGTGGGAAGGGACTTTTGCAGGACTTGTTGGTTGTATAGTCATTACCATTCTACTCTCTAAATCTCTGTGCTGGCCTCAATCTCTGTTCAGGTACTCAGATTTATTGTTCGATTGAAACTCTGTTTCGTATCATCTTTCTGTTGGTGAATGGGTTTGTTTTTCTCTTTTGTTTCCTCAGCTCCATAGCTTTTGGGTTTCTTAACTTCTTTGGATCGGTATTTGGTGATCTTACTGAATCAATGATCAAACGTGATGCCGGCGTCAAAGACTCTGGTTCACTTATCCCTGGACATGGTAAAATCGCCCCTAACCGATACATAGATCAAACGTCCCTTCTTCTCACTCGTGCCACCTCTAACCTCTTTTTCATGCTGCAGGTGGAATATTGGATAGAGTCGATAGTTACATTTTCACGGGCGCATTAGCTTACTCATTCATCAAAACATCCCTAAGACTTTACGGAGTTTGATGATGTACCGAAAACACCATAGCTTCAAGAAACTTACAAGCGGTTCCATGGTAAGCGTTTTGCGGTAAAAAAAGAAAACTCGCAATATAGCTGTGAAAAGACTGGTGCTGTGCTCAGTTTTGTTGCATTTGAGAGATGCAGAAGACTTGTAGAAGGTGAAAACAGAGCCTGGATCATTGAAACCAGTAGGTTGCTTCTTGGTTCGATGTAACAACTGGTTTGCGTTTGGTTTATGTTTTATTTATGTTTGTTGGTAGACACGAGGTCAGTCTTTAGAGAAAATTTGGTATTCACGGGAATCTTATATATTCGTCTTTTTTACTTTTAGTTAAATTATTATAACCATTATAAGAACTCTTTATTCTGATGATAATTTGTGAAAATTAACTAAGTAATAAATTATGACCTTATTAGATTACTCTTAAATTATTACATGATCAATGCCGAATTGCAGTTATATATATATATATGTTTGTTTGTTTTATAAGACGCATGATTTTTTGTTGGTTTATTGTTATATTTTCTTTAGTTAATTTGACTCCTTTCTTATCAAATGGATAAAATTAAAAACTAAGAAGAGGTCTTCAGAAAAGAAACTGACAAAATAAGACTAAAATTATGTGGGGTTGATAAAGAATGCGTTGTTCCCAAGCAGACTTTTTTATAAATGAGTGAAAAAAAGGTAGATTAATTTATTTATAAAGAACCAAAAGAAAACAATATACTAATAAAGAGAAAAAAAAAAAAGACGAAGAAATGATTGGGAAGACGAAGACATTGGTGGAGAGAGCATCAGCCTAAGATTTTGTATTTATCAAAGTTTATTCCTTTCTTATGAATTGTCACACAAAAAAATGGTAAACTCTAACCACATCAATATCAATAATTGAAACTATGGAAAACACATTATATACCTATTAAAATCATGTCTTTTACGAATTTAGTTTAGTTGGGGATGAGATTCTTACTTATGCTACATGTATTGTTTTTTTAGATTCACTTTCGGACAAGTGGATTAATCCGCAGTTAACCTACCACTAAATAAATAAAAAAAAATCGATAAATTTGGCATTTCTTAATGTTGTAATCTTGGTAAGGTCGTTACTATATAGGTCGTAACCAGGTTTTGTAATAGCTTACCAAGAAGAAGAGCTTGCTTTTGTAAATTTTCCTTTTCATTAGAAAATTCAAGTTATTTCATTCCTAGTCTCATTGATTCGAAATCATTTATAGGTAATACAACAAACATCAGTAACACTTTACAAGCATGGGGCTTTAACCATTAGAGAATTTATAACTTTTTTTATGCAAATTCGAATTTAAGGTATTCTTTGTTTAATTACATTGATTCTCTTAAAAGAATGAATTTCCTTTCTGAAATTTAATATTAAATTTATAGTAATAACAATCTCAAAATCTCCTAACATTAAGCACGTAGGTGTGCATGAACCGGTGTTTCTTAATTAATTTGCAAAGTATAATTATGAAGCTTTCTTTGGCAGTCACGGAGACAAAAGTGTCTGTTGTCGGTTTGGCTCCATGTTAATTTTACGTTATTATATTTCTAGTTTAAATTCTCATATCTTATTGATGACGTCTTTTTAGTTTTAAAGCTGTAAGTAAAGCTGATGCTTTTTATATTGTCAAAAGCTGATAATTCGAAATTAGGCAACCAAAACAAAAACATTTCATACAAAGTAACATGCAAACCTCGATCCGCTACTAGAGGTGTCACAACGAAAATTTTCAATATTAAATAACTAAATAGCTTCTCTCTTTTTTTTTTCCCTTCGTTTCTTGCTGTTCTATTAAAAATTAATTAAAACATGACTTTCGAAAGGTCGTTCAGGTTTTTGAAATTTTGTTCGCAATAAAACAAAGATTAAAATATTATTAGCAGGAAAAATTTTAACATTGTTTTTGGTTTTCAAATTAACCGCACCTAAAACAAACCTTGATCGAGTGTTTTAATAGCTAGGTAAGATGCTAGTGGATTAGATATAGATGTAAACAAAGATGACAATAATTGATATAAATAGATATGAAGGGTTAATAAATACATTATTGTTTTCGTTTTGTAATCCAGCCATTCTGTAAAATTACACGTTTTTAGCCACTATGGGCTACGGCCATAGTTAAGAAATGATTTAATTTCTTCACCGACGTCATAAGACTATATCGATATTAGTTTAATGAAGCGGTTGGTCGCTAATCAAGACTGTCCAACTTAGTTAACATATAAAAAAAAACTAAAAAAGTTCTTTAAAAACTGAGATTATACAATACTATCAAGCACCAATGACTTTAGGAGCATGTGATTTCACGAACAAAAGTCGTATTACAATAATGAACATGTATATTTTTAAAAGCTAAAAGCTTAGGAATACATTGACGGGGCTCTACATGTTTAATCCTTGCACTAATATAAGCAAATTGTACGCAAATTAAAGTCCTAACCTTTTTTATGATAGAAAAAAGAAAACTTTTTCATGGCCAGGTATTAAAAGAAAGCTGTTAGGGACCCGAGACGATTAAACAAACATTCAACCTTGGAAGCTCCAAAAACCAAATGATGAAACCAATTAGCTCCACTTTTTGGTTGTAAAATTTAATACTCTATAGAAATGTGTTAGAACAGTATCTTGCATGTACCGTGACTCCGTGAGTATTTCACTTATTCCTTAGTCATTCTAAAGACAATATAAAATGTAATGTAATAATGTATGTACTTAACACTAGAATAGGCTCTTAAAGCAGAAGTCCCCGAAGTCTATTTTTTCAAGTAAATAATTAGAGCGAAACCAAGATTAAATCGGTCCAAATTAGACTGTTTATACACTTCAACTCGAATTGCATAGACTCTGAAGATCCTTAAAAAAAAGATTAATAATTTACCCGATGTGATAACCATATCTCTTTTAAAATTTCTGTTTGTGGATAAGAGATGTAAGCATATAAACTCAAAAAGGGCATAACAGAAGGAGATTTTGATTATATATCCTTACTTCCTTAAAATGTTAACAACACAGTCGAAACTAAGAACAGCATAACAACATAAAGAAGATTAAAATCATTAAGTAGAGAAACAGAGAAATCAACATGCAAGATTTGGTTTCTTCTAACATTTCCAAGCAGAGACAGTAACAAGTTCTTTCCTTTGCCAACACATGACAAGCGAAGACTGTCTTTTCTCAACGTGAAACCCTCTCACCGGATTCCTCTGCAACAAACACTCCGCCTGAGCCTCCGCCGTCTGACTCAAACTCGCCGGAGAAAACCCACATTGTGTAAACAAGCTTCTCCACGGCGGCGATCTTTCAATCCAACGGTGTCGTTTCACCAGCAGCTTCTCGATCGAAGGCTGCACCCAAAACCTCTCGATGCTCGAATCGTCTTGGTTTTGATTGGCATCGAGAGACTCGAGCAGAGTTGTGTGGTACTGAAGCGCGTGGATCACGGCGTTCGGAAACGGCGCGTCGTTACGGTCACATCCTCTGTCCGAGCAAACGACGACGTTTGGAGAGATTTGTTTGATGAAACGAAGGATTAACGGAAGGTAACCGGAGACGACGGACTTGATTGGGAGATTCACTGCGATCGCTTCTTTGTCCGACGAACGGAGAGAGATAGGCCAATAAGCTGGGTTTAGAAGAAGCTCGAGGCTTAATAGCTCGATTTCGAACGGAATCTTGACTTCTCCGGCGAAACTTCTGAGATTCTCCTCTGTGAATCGAAGCTCGAATTCGTCGGAGACTGTTGAAGGAGGTGGAGCAAAGACGGTAATTTTCAGAGATGCTCTGTTTCTTCTTCTTCCTCCTCCTCCGGAAGCTAGTTCTTGCATTAAAGACGACCATTGTCCTCCGTATCCGACATCGAAATCGATAATGTGGATCCTTTCAAACCCTAATTCGTCGTTGCAGGCCTCGAGAATCGATTGATTGGCTGTGAAGTTGACGAATTGTAGAAACGGCGAGGTTTCAGAGAAGGATCTGTAAGCGGCGATGCGGAGGATCAGATTCTCCGGCGTGATTAACGGTGGTGAAGCGTCGTGGATGAGTGAAAGGAGAGCTTCGGCGATGTGAGAAGCCGCTCTTTGAAACGGAGGTTTGTTGGTGTAGTTGTTACTGTTGAGATGGTGATTGAGCCGCGCCAATATCCCTTGCGCGAGAACGGTGTGGTCGCCGTTGTTGTTGTTTCCGGTGGTTCCGATTAGCTCGGCCGCATTGAACAGCTGCTCGATGATGACTGACTGGTCATCGCCGGCCATTACCGGCGGCGGAATCGGAACCGGAACCAGAGCCGCCGCGGAGGAAGAAGAAGACGGGATTTGTTGATGCTGGTGAAACTGAAACGGAAACTGAAACTGTTGCTGACGACGAACGAGAAACGGGTCGTGACCCGGATCTGGATCCGAGAAGGGGAAAACCGGTTGGTGAGATCCGGAATTAAACCGTTTAGCGGGTGGAGTTGACGGAGGATTAGAGAACAAGCAAGGATTTTGATTTTGATTTGGACTTGGATTGATCAACGCTGCTGGATTCGCAGCTTGCTCTTGAAACGGGAAGCTACAGGATAACAAAGGATTCGAATTTTCGCTCGCCGGGACGGACCCGGATCCGAATCCGAAACCCGGGTCAAAAACACCGAAACCAGAACCCGGGTCCATGATTAGCCTCAAGATGCTCTGTTCTTGACCAGGGGAAGAAGCAGAGAGACCTCCGTCAAGATCATCAAGACCCATTTGACTACATTTATCATCACCGGCGGTTGCGGTGGCGGTGACGACACCACCGCCGTGAGAGGAAGACAGCGTCGTGGTGGTGGTGGTTGAAGAGTGAGAAGCGAGAGGACTGGGACTCCTTAAAGCGTCGAGAACAGACGTCGGCTCCGGTAAACCACCACCGACAACATAACCAAGATCTTCTTCTTCTGCTTCTTCTCTACCGATTCCGGTTTTGTCTTGATTAAACCAGATTTTCTGAGAGTCTGAATAGAAAGATGGAACACCAAACACCCCCTCCCCTTGAAATCTTTCAAAGGATAAGGGCATGGCCTCAAACACAGTAATTTAAAAAAAAAACCCTAGAGAGAGAGATCTAAGAACAGAAAGACAACAAAAGAAGAAGAGAGAGAGATGTTGTGTTCAGAGGTTAAATGTACGGAAGAAAGAAAACACATGCAAAGCTCAAAACTTGTAATTGGCGCCCCAACTTTCTTTCTTTCTTTTATTTTTCTTCCGAAAATCACTTTTCTTTTCTTTTCTTTCCTTTTTCCTCTCTGATGCTGTTATATGGATGCGTGCAATATATAAAAAGTGGTCTTCATCAATGCGAAGCTCTCTCTCTAAATCTTCTCTTTTTCTATTTAATAAGGGAATTTTTTTTTTTTTTTTGCTTCTCGTCCTCTATGTGTGGCTTGTGTCTGTAGATGTACTTATCTACATATGTACCGTGTTCTTGTGCCATCATTGTCGAGTCTCTTCGCAAACTCCAGCGCGTGACTCTACTCTCCCCCATTATACATTGGCCTCTCTCTCTTTTCGTCACTACATTTGTCTTACTCTTTGATTTTTGGTCATAAGCTTTCAAATTTTTATTTTTTTGTTTTGTTTTAGAATGTTGCCTTCTATAGACTATAGTGTTATAGTATAATTCATTCACTCCTCCTACTTTCAAGTGGGTTAAATAGTGGGGGCTCGACGGAAAAAAAGAGAGAATTCGATTGATTTTTCTTTATATATAGTTCTCCTTGTATTCATTGCTATAATCTTTATTTATTTTATTAATCGATTGATTTTTCTTTATACATGTAAAACAAAATGCCAAATGATTTTTGCCAACATACATACGATGATCGGAAAGAAAATTGAAAATTGGAAAACTTTATACGAAAAGATTACAATATGTGTTTTAAACAAGAAAAAAAAATAATCAAATGTTTTCCCATTTTCGCGTATTTTATGATACTTTTTCAAAAATAATGAAACCGAAAAAGAAGCGCGTAAAAATATCATTGATCTGAAAGACTGTAACTGTATTTTTTTATTTAAAAAATAAATAAAACATCTTACATATGCCGAGGAGGCAGAGCAAAAAGACGAAACTGACGCAGATGGTTCATTACTATTTATTTACCAGAATTCCCAAGTTTACCCTCTTAGATTCGAGAAAACAAAGCAGATGAGTGAGGGATATTACGGTAATTCAAGGGGAAACAACTCTGGCAGGTGGCTTTGGGCCTTGTTTTCGAAACTGAATCTGACGGACCGGTGCTCTATTTGAGTGTCTCTCTGTGTGGCTTTTTGAAGATTTTTTGAAAACATCGAGACAAACTCTTTCAACGGTTGAGATTCTTTGGGTAGCTAAAGATCCTGTGGCTGTATATTATGTTGTTGGAAGTCTTCTTCATCCTTTTTGTATTTTTCTTTTTTAATTAATACATCCTAACTACAAAATCTAAGATGGTGGTGGTATCAATTACTTTAACTCGTGATTTAAAAACTCAAATCTTTTTTCATTTTTTTTTTTGTAAAGAACTCAAAGTTGTTAATGGTAACATGTGTTAGTTAAATAACTAACATATTTTATTGGGACTTTATGTCCACTCGTTTTGTTATGCAGTTATGCGGATGCATATTTTGGAAATTATTTACAATCGTATTTGTAATCATTTTTGTTAAAGCTTTCGTAATCAGATTTGTGTGTTTTTTATTCATTTAAGTTTATTAGTTTTAAGGATATACCCATATTGCGTGAAACCATAGCATGCCATGCCAGCATGGTCTTTTTTGAAATAAATCGACCATTTGTAATATCAATTTATATGATTTCAAACGATAATTTAATATATTAGTTCTGGTCTGCAAATGACAATGCTATGCTAAAAAAACTTCAATCTACTGTTTAAATAACATACATTTAAATATTAAGTCGTTAACTATTATGTCAACATTGTCTAGCGTTAATAATACAGCTAAACAATTATAAAATCGATGGAAGTACAAAACAAAAACATAGAAAACTATTTACATTAGGTATAAGATAAGACACTAAACAACTGTGTTGGAAACCAAACTTATTTATTTTTGTGTTGCCAATATATATAAATCAATTTAATCGCACGGTCCTAATATGTTGTTCACCATTTCTATGAAAATTCACCTCGATTAAGTAACATGGATCACGCTAATATATTCTTTATTTTATTTTTAAAAACACTAAACAACCATAGCACACAACAAAATATAATAACATTATTGATAATTTAATAAAGTAATAACCAAGTAATTAAAATAATAAGTGGAGTAAATGAAAATCAAGTAAAGAGATGTGCAGCTGGATTTCCAAGACAAGATTGAAAGTTTTGGTTGCTTGTGTATGAATGTAAAGTAGACATGCTTATTATGTTATTATCATGTATCAGAAGTGCATTAAGAAAAGAAAACCACAAATTTATAGTATACTGAACCAGCAAAAAATCAGAGATTTAAAAACAAATTATTATTGAGCATTGTCATTATGAGAGACATGGTTTATTTCCCAAGACAAACCACAAACCTCCATGTGAGTTTCCACCACTATTGTAACTCTGCCTTAAAACAAAATATGTATCGCATTAAATTATATTTCCTGCCTTTTTGTTATTTTTAGAATACAAATTACCAACTTGCTTATTCAATCTTTAGGGGTGATGACTAGCTGAAGAAGGGACACCACTAACGTGCCACTTGTGTAGAAGATTCACGCATACACATATATATAATAAGTTTATATTTCTTATAAATCTATATTTTAAAGTTAAAATTGTTAACAAGTTTTTTTAGACCCAATCTTACCTTAGGGGCGTTTGCGCTGAGTTACATTGTACATCGATAATGAAATTCTAATTGTATAATTTCGTCGTAGTTTTAATATTCGTGATGGAATATGATTAGTAAATTGAGATGAACATGGCATATATATTTATATCGATGTTTTTTTATATGTTTATGGTAGAAAATTTATTTGAATCTTAACAATAACAATGTGTTTTACCACACAAAAAAATAATATAGGAAATAACAAATACAGAAATACAATAACGGTCTCTTTTGTTAAGACAGGGATTAACACAAACAACACGAGATAATCATCGATCAATACGTGAACAAAGCTTAATTATTATTGCTAAAATCTAGGGATAGTTGAAATATAAAATAATACGATGCACTATTACACACATTCTCCATTAATCATTTGGTAATTAAGAAGTGTTCTTATTATATAGTTGTCATTTGTCAAATATATATAATCATGTACCTTAACATCTAAAGATTTGGGAGGTTATGAAAAAAACATATAAACCAAAAAAAGTTGAATATCTCGGAGCATTATGGTGGTAGAGAGCAGCCGAATTTACAGAGTTTGTTTGTAACGAATAACTCGATAAGATAAGAAGATCTATTATAGAAGACAACTAAATGCTGTTTTTGAATGATCCAAGTGAGTGAATAGCCAGGAGGAACAGAACAAAAGGATTTGTATGATTGTATCAAAGTATCAATACATCGAGTCAAACGTTGACAATTTTTTTCGAAAGAGTGGTGCATGAGGAAGTAGCATATCGGGCATGGGCTTCTTAGATTCTGTCTTATCAAACCTTCATAAACCAACGACATATAGACCCATTTAGTATTCAATATTGGTCCGTTAAAGCTCAGTAATCCGAATTATGCAATCTTATCCTAAAACAACAATCCGAATTATATATTCGAGGTCATAGTGACGGAGAGGCGTGGAAAAGGCCAATCCAGACGTGCCATCCACTAACTTCTTCCGGAAGCTGGAAGGATTCCGATATGTTTTGTTCTCAATTATATACAAACAAGAACATTAATCTTTGATTTGGGCCGTTAAAGCTCGGTAATCCGTATTATACTTACGTAGTAGTATTATTGATTTATAGGCTTCTCAGAGAGCCAAGTTTAAAAACTTAAGGAATTGTACTTTCATCCTGTTACATTAAGATATATATATATATATATATATATATATATAAAAAAAACTCTAGTGATACTGAAAGATCATCAATAGTAGAACCTAACGGAATATGGACCGATGCAATGTAAGATAAATATCTTATCAACAACGTATAATGGATCCCATCTTGATGCTGAAAACTGATACATACCACCCAGAGAGACACTCTGGCTCGACAATGTCGTCGAAACAAAGAGTGTGGAACCCTTACATAATTACAGTAACAAACAAACAAGACAAAATTCTTGTCTTTTCCCCCTTTAAGATATATTTTTAAAAAACCCCCAAAATTAGTCTAATCAATGCCATGGACTCAAGTTGCAAAAGCCAACTAGCTGGATAGATTTGTTTCTTACTCGAATTTTCTTTACAACCATTCACATCACATGTTTTTTTACCTCATCTCTTTGTATGTTCTACTAAGTCACTAACTTCTTCTATATAAACCATGTACTTTCTTTCCTTCACATTCATCTCAAAACATTCCTAAAAGTTTCTATGGCTCGAAAGGCTCTTGCAGTTACAGCTCTTCTTCTCACACTTAATCTTCTATTCTTCACTTTTGTAACTTCCACAAAATGTCCACCAACTACACCTAAACCCCCCAAAAAACCCACATCCCCAAAGAAGGACCCGGCAGTCAAACCCACTTGCCCTACCGACACACTTAAGCTCGGTGTTTGCGCAGACCTATTGGGCTTAGTTAATGTTGTTGCTGGTTCTCCACCAAAGACTCCTTGTTGTGCACTTCTAAAAGGTCTTGCTAATCTTGAAGCTGCGGTTTGTCTCTGTACCGCTCTTAAAGCCAATGTCTTGGGGATTAATCTCAATGTTCCCGTTGATCTAAGCTTGCTATTGAACTACTGCGGCAAGAAACTTCCTTATGGCTTCCAATGTGCTTGAAGATTTTGAGATTTAAAAAAAGGGAAATCTCTTTGGTTTGCTTTGTTCTGTTAGTTTCTACTATATATTGTCTATCTATTGTTTTTGTGAGAAAAAAAAAGGCAAAACTCCAACCTTTGTTCTTTTCATATTGAGTTTATGTGTTTATATGTGGATTAAATTTGTTAATGAAAAACCTTTTAATATGTATTTTCTGAATCTTTGTCCAAGATTTTCGACCTTTCATCCAGTTATTATTATTATTTTTTAATTATTCAAGGATTCCCTTAGTAGATTTTGAGAAACCCCCATAAAACACAAGAAATCGACCTTTGTGATGACTCGAGAGCTCTTTTCCATAAAGTTGCGTTCAGTTATAACAAAGATTGAAGACAGAGACATATCCACATTGCAAAAAAGAAAGAAAAGGATCACCATACGCTCTCTATTTTCTTCCTTCATCTTGCTTTAGTGCTTCTCTTTGCGATAGAGGGTCTCCACGTGGTCTCCCTCTGTGTAATTATTATCCAACCCAACATGGCCCCATATGGCCCTACAAGTCGAGATCGACATGGACCACCTTTAGACCATGTCCATCAGGAGTTTATATGAAGTTCATGGCACAGGTTTTCAGGTAAAAACGTTTTGAAATAAATGAAAAAAATATCATTTTTGGTGAATCGATTCATCCGGAAGAGTTTGATGATACCGTTTCTAACCACGTGTAAGCTTCTAATTGGGTATTGTGTTTCTCGGACAAATTTTTTTTTCTCGACCATATCATTTTTTCATCTCACACGACTATCTCTCTACTCGACGATTTTCAATTTTTGGTCGAATTCGATTCATCATCATCTCCTTCCACCATTTGCGATCCTTCCTTCATCGGTATAGTTTCTCTCTCTCTCTCTCTCTCTCTCTCTCTCTCTCTCTCTCAATTTCATCTGTTTCCTCCTCGTTCGTTGCTTGGAGACATATGATTTCGAATTTTTGGGTTTCTGTTAATGGAAATGAATGATTTCAAATTTTTGGGTTTCTGTTGATGGAGATTTTAATTCAACTTAATGGGGATTGGGTTGTTTTAATTCCTTAGTGCAGCGATGCTCAGACTCGAACGCATTGATTAGAGCTTGAGCTTTTGTCATTCCTGAGGTTTTCTCTACCTCAAACTACTTTGTAGATCCCGCAAACTCTTACCACACATGTCTAGACTGATACATTAACTGGACTCTTAGTTCATTCAGATCCTAGAAACAATGATATGCATTGCTAAAGTCATACACTCTCTTTCAGTTTCTGCAGGTCTCTAGTGATTTCTACAACGCTGCATTACCTGAGATATCAGATTTCTTGGCCTCAGTCTGCCGATCATATGATTTGCCTCTCAGTGCGTTTCGACAATCGATTCCGCTTGCTTTGTCCTCGACGAACAGAGCAATGATTTTCTGAAAGCATGCTCTGTCACCATCTTCAGTACTTCATCGTTAAGATGATCCAAAGAGCGATCAAAAATGACATCAAGTTAAGTGGAAAGCCAGTTTAAGAGCTCTGAAGAACAGGTTTTGTTGTGAACCAACTAGGACGAGAAGAGTTTTTTTATTTGCACCATTTTCTTGTTCTGGCTTTATCTTGTCTGGAATTTATGGAGATTTGTTCAAAGAAAATATTACCTTTTTCTGGTTAAATGAAAATGAAATGGTTGCTTCTGTTTCCCATACAAAAGTAAAAAAACTAAATGTTCATTTACAATTACATGTTTTACTTTCTCTTAGTCTTCGCTTTTTGCTTTGACATGTCAAGTGTTTGTTGTTTTGTTACTCTGTCTCCGACTAACCAAGCAGCATACTTGTGTGATTACATAAACACAGATCAACATGAGAACAGAACCGAACACAAACACTCTAAACAAGACCAGCTCTTCAACAGGAGACATAACCGCCAAATACACACAATCTCGTATAAGAACAATCCATCCCAATCCTTCCACTGCATTTTTTATCACCACAACTTTTATTCTTTCTAAATTCTAAATGTTGTATGTTTTTAATTTCAAGTAATGAATTGTAATTTTGTTTTATAAGAAATGTGTTTAAATTTATTACCAAAATTAAAAATTTCAAATTTAAATTTTTTTTTTTTTTTTTTGGTGAACTCCATTTTGAGGTTCACCAATGGAACCTAAAAATTGACACAGGTTCTTCCAAAAATTCAAAACCCAAAAATAATAATATTATAGTTTGGTGAACCCCTAAAAATAATAATAATAAGAGGAGTTCACTAATGTACATGCTCAAGTCTTATTATTCCCACATAATACGTCGCTGAAGAAATTGTATGGTCCGATAAATATAAGGTTACGAAACGCTGCATCTTTCTTGGATTCTTCTTTTGGCTCTCTGAATTCGAATTAGTTTCTCCGCTCGATTGTTTTCTCTCTTTCTCTCCCTCTTTCGACGACCAAGCTTTTGCTTTATAAGAAGTCGTCAAGTAATGTACAGTATGGTATGGTAATGGGAAAATGAAATCGCCGGAGACTAAACAATAAACTTCTGCCAGGCAAATTTCACTATCAGATTCTGAAATTCCGTGCATAGAAGAGAATGGTAAGGATTTTGTCATCATTGTTTCTTCACGATCAATGCCCACCAATTGCAATGGAAATCACTAATTAGAGTCTTAGACATTAACGACACCGTATCATCTACCCACCTAAGTTACGACACGGAAAGTGGGCACTAGTATTAATGGGCCGATTTCTAGTTAGGCCTGATAACGTATATAGTCACTTGATCCGATTACTGTTGTTTGTAATCATGAGTCTCAAACTCTCAATTATGACTTTTTTTCTTCCACCGACCAAATTTCTTGTGTTAGATCAGAAGATTAACGTACTACGGTAATTGGGTGAACCTCCTTATTAATTTAGTTTAGGGTTACTGTAAAGTCATTTATGTCCCATTTGCTACTTAAAGATAAATCCGTCACCGGATTAGTTTCGATTAGTTCAGATGTAATCCGAGTTAAATTAACCTCTGACGTTAGACTAGATTATGATTACGAATTTGATTTTACAAAACAAAACTATCTAACATATATTTTTGTTTTTTATTCATGACTAGATTATTCTAAGTAATCTTTATGCTCTGCCAATAGATTATCTTTTTAATAATTTATGGATGTTGAGATTAAAAAATGCTATTCTAGGAACGACGGTAGATTCATGCTGAAAGTTAGACGATTTTTTTTTGTTGGTTGTCATATTACGATTACATAAATCAAAATTGCCCTACTATCATTATTAGGATCATTGTAAAACCACTGGACCAACAAAACTAAACCATAGATTGCTAAATATATTTTATCCAGATACGATTTTATTCTACATTTTTGCTTTCTTTTTCAAAAAAATAATAATATAAAACTGTTGTGCGTTATAAACGAAACTTTAGATTCAAGCTAAATTTTACTTGGGATGCTTATATAACGTAGCAAATGTCTAATTTTAAACTTCTGTATCGAAAAACATAAAGCGTTCTGCTATATATTAATGAGTTATATTAGTACAAATGAAAACTAACATAATAAGCCTCATTAATTAGCAAGATTTTGATTACAACAACAGAAGAAGACGCATGCATACATATAATATATATAAGTTCAAGAAAGAAAGATAAACCCAACTTTTGGACCAACATAAACCCTAGGAATTAGGATTTCAATTTCGCATATACTTGTCGATTATAGTCATCTTCAATAAGGAGACACACCAACGTTAGCCGCAGGAGCGTAGAATCCTTCTTTCATCACCATATTATCATCTCCCTCCTGTACACCAATTTTTAAGGTATGATTAAAACAAATTGATATTCGTGGACCGAAAAAAAATTTTATCCGATAAAAACAAATAAAGTACGAACTTCTTAAAGAAATTGATCCGATAAAAACAAATAAAGTACGAACTTCTTAAAGATATTTGTAACATTATTTTAAAGATGTAAGGTATGTCGACAGATTAGGGTTTACCTGTTGGGGCATGTTGGTTTTCTTCACGGGTTGATTGTCTGGCACGAGCCCGAAGTGTATGTGGGGGAAGTGGGCCCACTACATTACACATAAACAACATACGTACAAGACACATATCAACTTGTGTTATAACCTGACAAAACTCTCTACTCCTAATCACAGCTATATATGTCTTTCTAAGACCTGACATCTATACAGATATATATGAGTACGCATGCGAGTGTATATATATACATTGAGAAATTAAACCCTAGTTTCCGTTCCGCCTCCAATCTAACCAAGGTTTTGATTTTAAAATATCAAGGACTAATTTGTCTAGTAAAGGAAACAACAGAACCCTGGAAATCGATAATACCAAGTGCCTTCATTGAGAATCTTCTAGACGTTGAATTTACAATCAAGCTGGCATTTTATTGTATAATATGATATATATACATAGACCTTGTGTATGTTATACATATATTTGCGCACACAAAAGAAAAAAACATAGATCTCGTGTATGTATATGGATTTACCAATGGATAATTAGACTCTTGGTTATTATCTAATTTAACCAATGGATATAACGACTTAATATGTATTTTAGGGATAAGAAGATTAAGGTTCTTACATTCTTGGCAGCAGCACTAAAGGCTTCTCTGTGGCTTATATCAGGATTACCAGCTTTGATACGTTGGATCTCCTCCCTACAAGAAAGACGTGACAAGGATTTACATTAATGATATACGATTATAGAATATGAATGGTGAATTTATATAATAATAAAGTTGTTTAAAACTCACTTAATAAATCGGTTATATGCGGATGGGACTCTCTGTCTTTTCTCTGGAGCTGGCAATGGCAAAATTCAACGGCAAAGACAAAGCGAAAAAACAAAAACTCAGACAGAAAGAGACAAACACTCATTAAAACTACTTTCATTGTCTTCTTTCTTTCTCTCTCTCTCACACACACACAAACACAACCTCTCTCTAACTCATCATCACTTCATCATTTTTTTTAAGACAACCCCATCTTCTAACATCTTACATAGATTCGTTCTCTCTAGATTTCCGGGGGATCCATGAATCTATCTCCCCTTTTCTTTTATTTTTACTCTTTAAATGTTACAAGAGCTAAAAGCCATCCATTTATATATATATACAATCAAGACATACAAAATGTCATTGATCGATGAATATGTTAACATATACAAA